GATGCAGTTTGTTTACACTACAAAGAACAGGATCCAATATTATACAGAAAGAAGAAGAGCAATGAAATAATAAAATAACTAAAACAGCTTAGATAAAAAAAAGGGAGCAAAGATAACACAACTATTAAGTGATGTACATGTAGTTTCTAAAGCTAGTAAGAAATTATACATGAATAAAGATATATTGCCTGTTACAGCTAGGTAACAATAAACCATACACATGTTACATATAATAATGAAATAGATAAGAAACATATCCTGGAAAAGACTATATATCGTCCGAAAACCATATATTACAAAGAATAAAGATGCGCAACACTAAAAGATAAACAAACTAAATTAGACAATATACATTTTAAAATATAACTTAAATTTATTACTTGGCTATTTTTATTATATTATCTTATTTGTAATTGATATAAAAATAAAACAGAATTTAGATTAGAAAGGTATTGTCATATTTAATATTGTCATGTCAAGTGAAAAAAATATAAACCTACCTGGGTTAATAAAATGGGTGCTTTGACAGGGGCAGAGAAACTCATGATACATTCAACACAGACATGTAGGAAAAAGTGACCAGTTGAAACGGGACGTTTAGGATAGTAGTATCCAAGTTACCGATTTCTACTTACTCTGAATAAGGTAGAAACGTAAGACGACATAGAAAATCAAGACTCTATATGAAGTGTCTTGGCCCACGAAGCTTATTTGAAGGCTATTCTCTTAGATTCGGTATCAGAATATGACGATTTTGACTCCGGTATCAAAGCTTTGAAGGCTATTCTCTTAGCTTGGGTATCAGAATATGACGATTTTGAAGTAATAATTAGTAATAATTCTTCTGGTATAATCGTAAATGGGGGGGGGGGGGGAGGGGCCCAGGTGAGCAGAGCACAAGTGTGAAACGACCCACGAAATATCAAACTAGAAAAGGCGTTGAATATGTAGCTGATATATAGACTTGGAAATAATGAAAATAACAATGCAAATATACCTTGTTGGATCGAGTATCCTATGCACGATGATTATATCCCAGACAGGTTGCCAAACGTTGTTCGGGGTAGAGCTGATAAAATATTTATTGGTAAAGTAAAAATACCTCTTGATTATTTTCAGCTGATGAGTTTAACTGACAGCCGTTGAGACCAACATATATGCTAATACGGTCTTCGATACGAGAATGATTTACCGGAATATTCACGATATCGCAGATGGATTCCGACTAATATTTCAGAAGTGGAAGCGTACACGACTCTTCAAGTCTGAACTGCATGGGACTTTGCAGCAAATTCTCCCTGAATGATTACTGGCTTATATTTTCGCCAAGACAAGAGACAGATATTTGTTAATGTCATCATTCTTTCAGTTGTCGAATAATTTAATCTATATCCACAGGGGGCAACATGGTTATGATCCTATACACAAGGTGCCGTCACTATTTGGCATAGACGAGTGCATCATAAAATTCAACGGCCGGATACATTTTCGGCAATATATGCTAGCAAAGTCAACGAAGTGGGGTTTGAAGGAATTTGTATTGTGTGATGCGAAGGCGGGCTACCAAAGCAAATCGATTTTGTATACAGGAAAAGACTCTTTCATTCGCGACAAAAATGTCCCACTCACACAAGAGGTTGTAATGAAACTTCTAGATGGATTTGATAATAAAGGGCCACGTTGTATATATGGATAAATCCTAATCGAATAGGTATGCCACAAGACTAAAGAAAGCTGAAGTTGATCTATTGAAAGGTGATGACCCAGTATTTATGCGCAAGAACAATTTAGTAGCTTCCGCATGGCATGATACAAAGCAGGTATCCTTGTTATCTACTGTCCACACAGACAATACAGAGTGGGAGTTGGTGGTTTCCAACTGAAAAGAACAGTAATTGCAGAAGATTATATTAATCAAATGGCCGGAGTGGCGAGAGAGAGAGAAGGGCAGACTTGGCCAAACTTCTAAGTGGTATCACCCTCTATGTCACAGAATGGGAGAGGTTGCATTTGTCAATGGGTACATTTTATATAAACAGTATGACCCCAAAAATACTCTAACTCCTGTTCACTTTCGTAGGGCTGTGATAGAAGGTTTTGAACAATCAACCACAAGGTGGTGAGGTGGGGGGGAAGCTGAAAATTCACAATGAACTTGGAGCCACAGTGGCCCAGTGCGTAAGACACTGGCTCACTAACCTGGGGGTCGCGGGTGCGAGTCTGGTGTTGGTCGGGTAAGTTCATTGAGTTTTCCGCCGTGGTTTCCTATTGGTAGTTTTGCAGGACGAAGGGCTTGACAAAGGACGACAAGCCGATGTCCTGGGTACACACTAGTGTACACGTAAAAGATCCCATTGCAATTGGAATTGGATATAAGAGTAGTAGGCCGTAGCGCCCCTGTCCGAGTCAAATTTCCCTCTTGGCACACTGTATAGCGTATACACGTTTTCATTAGCCCATAGATGAAACAGAAACGTAGGACGTTTAACCCCATTTCATTTTATTTCATGTATATTTAAATAACAGAATACTTCACTTCCTTCTCGAACAATATATCAAAATAGCCACAACGCGCACAAGGAAAGAAAAGTGAAATCGTCCCTTATGTGAAAATATGAATGAAAAGTTAACCAATAACTAATTCTCATTCTTTACCAGAAACAAGGACGAAAATAAGATGGGTAACTTTTTCTATATGAGAAGATATCACGTAAGATTCTACTTTTTTACATTTTAGTAAAAAACGAGATAGGAACAAAATTGTTATTAATTTAAATACGAAAAATTCAAAACCACGTTCACCAGCCTGAAACTGGTTTACACAGATTCATCTGCTAAACTGCTAAATTGTTCTATGCATCAATCCTACCGTGAGTCCGTGACTACGAATCTCATCGAATCAACCAACTGACCGATCCCCGCCCCTATATGGCTTGTGTCGTGCCTATCTCATAAAAATATAACTTTTACAGAAATATCATTATAGTTCCAAATAAATTGCTTAAAAAAGCAGATGATTACTATAAATTATAACGAAATCCTTAACAGTAACTTAATTGAAATCACATTGCAGATCGAATCTTAATTTATAGAACTTTAATATGTAAAATTATCTATCTTATAATTGTATTATACGACACAAACTACTGTCTATTCCATTATATGCATATTTACCAGCATAGAATATCTATTCAAACGGCATATAATTGATCTTAGATTCAATGAAAATATGTTTATATTAAAATGAGTACAATTCTATATTAAGAATGCATTCATAGAATGTAGGTCTATGTCTATTTGATTTTTGTATTCACTATTCAACACCTTATAATATTTAACAAATGTTCATACCCGTCCATTCAATATTATTTGGCTTAATTGCTTTGTTATGTCGTAATATCATGAGTTACACTGAGCTTATTCAAGCTAGGGTCTATGATTTATTCTAAAGCAAGGTGTCATATGCACATTTTCTGACTTCTTGCAGGAAGACGCAAATTATATTAATACACCATGTGTGTGTTCTCTAAAGTTTAAGCTCTTCTGTCCCAGACTTCAAGGGCTCAAGTGGTGCCTTGTGTATAGAAATCAGTACCAATCTTTGGTAAATAAAAGACCGCCGCAAAGAAGCATGCGTATATAAGATAGAACGGGGCTGTTTATTATGGAACCCAAGGGATCCAAGAGATCTAACTGGATGAATTTATATCGTTTACGGCGTTCCTACGCTAGTTAGCCCTTCTCTTTCGTTCCATCTGATAATCGAGAACTCCAGAAACCGATAAGACTTTGATATCTGACAATCTAACAGTGGATATTTAAAACATTCAAGATATACGGTCCAAGTAAACAGCCGCCGATTGGATACATTACTAGCGATTATCACACATCGTATTTCAATTGCACAAATGTAAATGGTCTGGGGTAGGATTGAAAATCTTCGGTTTTTCAGTTATTAATTTTCATGTTACAGGTTCATTAAAAATCTGAATTGTCAAAAGAGAAATATGATTAGGCGTTCCAATACATGCCTTAATTATCACAGTTTTTTTTTCAGAGCAGAAATGATACATAAGCACCTGGGAAGTTTTTTTCTTACTATAGTGTGTGTTCCATTCTCTATAGGTTAGTATTCAGACAATTGTGTTATTAAAAAAAATCTGGTTAAATTTTAAAGCAAAATGTCAGGATTAGTATTCATTTGATTATTCTAACCACATAACTATTTCAACTGATTTGCCTCTTGCGACAGAGGAATTAGATCGGAGGGAGGGAGGGGGTCTCACTCTCTATAATGTTTGTTGGAACCTTAAGATCGAGGATATACCACAAGCTGTATTCTCTCCGAATGCGAATACTGGACCCTTTAGATCGAGAACTACCCCTGGATGAAACTTCTTTGTATGTCAGCAACGTATAGGATGAAGCCTATAATATGTAAGTTGGAACCTTAAGATTGCGAAATTACCTAAAAGTTGAATGTTGGAACCTTGTAACTGAGGAAGTCCCACAGAGGTAACCTCTCTGTTTATCGGACAGGGAAGCCTCTGTGTATGTTGGAATCGTAAGATCTAAAGTACTTCAAGGGGAAGCCTCGGTGTACGTTGGAATCTTAACATTTTACTATGTTTATGCTGCTAGGGCATAGTTGCCATCCGTCGTCATTCTTACTATAGTATTTACTTAACTGTAACGCATCCTCGTCAAGTGTATCCTAGCAACATAAACATGTTAAATGACTTATAGCCAGTAATTGTAATAGTGTACATTTGCAGTTGTACATAACATCTTCATTAGAGACGAATAACGAGGCGATCGATATAAGAGGTTCTTAACTTTTATTTTTCTAGAACTTATAAGATACGCATAAAAAGGATCAGATAACGTAGATTGCACCCAGAATAAACTTAAATGCAGAAACAGGCAAACGATTGATAGTGATTTCGCTTTTTATGTCTTCAAATATTTATCTATTGCATGCAGCACTATTAACTGTACGATTCATCTGTGGAATTCGTGTAATGCTAGTATATGCCGAGTACAATTTAGTTCAGTTGACCAGTTACAGTTAGATGACCAGTGTAGAGGGAAAATGACCTGTGATTTGCTTTCACCGCTCTTGTTGAACTCTACGTATTGCAGTCAAACGACTACGAGAACGGCATGTTTTAATGGATCATCGTTCCAGCAGATCGGTTATTTCATTCAGTACGACTGCAATCCAGGTACTGTAATATTTTCTGTATTTATCATTCTAGCCAATGAACCTAGAGGATTAAAAGGATTATATCCAGACCACCGTACGTTTTGTGTGTTTCATTCAATGTTTCGTGGTGTTTCCCAATTTGGTAGCATATCTTTTAGTCATACAAAAATTAAAGTGATTCAACCATTATATCTGTGGTGTAGTAACTATTATAATAAAGATTTTATTTTATCCAACTTACCAGCAGAAACGAAAAAAAAATTAATGTACAAATCCTGCTGAGCAACTTTTCAAAAATCGTATGCATGAACAGTTACTAGGTCTAGTTTATTGTCTAGTCATTAACGCTGTTTAGCTGAATAAAATCAAAGTATTTTACTTCTTTAAAGTAACTATAGTAAGTTTACATTTTACTTCTTCAAAGTAACTAGTCACATTTTACTTCTTTAAAGTAACCTTGGCAGTTGGAATTCGATATAAGAGTAGGCGGTAGTGCCGCTGCCCGGGCAAAATTTCCCTCATAGCACGCTGTATGGTGTATGCCCGTCTTCATTAGCCCAGTATAGGAGCAGAACAGTAGGACGTTAAACTCCATTTCATTTCTTTAAAGTAACTAGTAAGTTCACATCTAATTGTTTACTCAAATTGCAGTGTCCAGTACACCCGCGCAACCCTTTGTCGAACCAACAGTACAGGGGCCGTCGGTAACAGACATCCCATTAAATAGCCCCTTTTCTTCTACGCCAAAGGTCAATGAAGAGCCAAGACCTGACAGAGATACCTTAGGTATTAATACTATTTAGATAATATTTTCAGTTTGTTTTAGTACATTAGTATACATGTTCTGTATTAACATGAATTGCTTCTGTCAATCAACATTACGGTGCTTACATCAGGGAAGAATTGTGCTGGGGACCTCGGGTGAGACGAATATCATAAAATCCCGCACGAGAATAAGTGGTTGATTATCTTTGAATTCTGCATTTCTAATAAAGTGTATTCATCAATTCAGATACGTCAATAATTATTGGAAGTGTTGTAGGAAGTCTTCTACTAATGGTATTAGTGATTATCAGCGTTATCATTATCGTCAGACGATAAGAAGTTACAATTATAAACCGAACGTAAGTGTTTCAATTTAAAACAACATCACTGTAGAAGGCAGATATATATATGTACAACCATTCAATTACGCCCGTCTTCAGAGAAAAACTAACATCCAATGTAAAATTGGTTGATGAGCACTTTTTGATTCCAGTAAACGCGACCTCATGGTCAGTGACTGGATCGGGTTACACAACTATCTTAATACAAGATTTCAATTTTCTGTTTACAGTATAAAACTGGATGTCACCGAAAATGTATTTATGTATGTTTTCCGGTGTGGACGGTAATTAAGATCACGTCATGTCCAATGCTGATGACGCAACAATCAGACAAAATGACGACTGAACCCACCTGTACGATAAAAATGAGAGTGGTGGGGGGGGGGAATAAGACAGGATGTGTGCTAGTAATTGGCGACTTTAACCGTGGACAAAGGGAGAGTACTCGTATACATGTACAGGATTCAGTTGGACTCAGAGTAGCAATTATTTGCCCATTGACTTCAATGTTAAACGTCTGTAACATCACAGGCTATAGCTTTTGGCTCAACATTCCGTTGGTTCCAATCTTTATAGGCACAATGGGGACCACATTTGGCAATCTCCTCATCATAATTGTGTAGGGGGTTGACCATTTAGATTTTTTGCTACGGGGATTTGAAGTCATGACTGGGGTGAAAATCTCACTTCCGACACAATGATTGCTCTGCAGAAAGACACTTTACACCCCCTATCCCTCCGCTGTAATATCATCAGTATTACCCAAAACTACTATGAAATTGCAAATTTGATACCTTTTTTCCAATTTTAGACCAAAAGCCAACCCAAATAAAGGGAAATAATTACTAGTCTTAGTCCAATTGACGCATCCAATAGCATTGGCAATGTGGACCATGATCAATACAATCATCGAAGGATTCACATTCATTAATTTACTTATTAGTTAACTTCAAGTTTTACGTTATTTTAGTTTTTGTTAAATAATATTTATGATGACCCTAAATAAAAAATTGCTGTTACTTAACACATAATTATTAATATAAATTGTGAGTTTGAATATTTGTATAGACATTTCAATCGGGGTATACTCTATGTACAGTACAGTGGTTTTAATGGTATACGTAATATTGTCATGTGAATACTTTAAATCACAAAATAATAAATAGTACCCCCGTTTCTAAAACCCTTAAAGACGAATTCTTGTAATACTATGTGTAGATTATCGCTGTAATAGCACCAAAACCATCTTGATCTCCCACATCTTTGCAGTAGCCCGGGTGAATCAGGGAATAAAGTGTTGGTCAGGAAAGTTTCACGGGTGGTTTCCCATTGTCTGTGATACATGACGGAGGGCCGTACAAGGACAAGTGGCTAGTCGTTCGGATATGACAAAAAACGAGACCCCGTGTACAGATTGGTGTGAATGTAACAGAACGACTGAAAGTTGTAATTCGAAATAAAAGTAATGGACCTTTAAAAAGTAATCATGGTGAAAGGAAGTACAAAATTAATGATCTCATTATTTATTGACTCTCCAATAATTTAACCTTCGCCAGTGTGAAAGCCAGTGTGAGCCTTGATTGCACGTGTTCATGTGCGTCACACATGTGCGGGGGGGGGGGGGGGAGGCGAATATACTTGGACCCCCCCCCCCGAAAATTTACACAGTAGGCCTTAACTCCTATTTATTTACAACAATTATTAGGATTGGTTAAGATTCTATCTGTATAAAACTTGCACATATCCCAATATGTTGGTGTGATGTTTTAGTTTAACACCGTAAAATATGCCCCCAAAAAATCTGATAAAAACTGTAGCCTCTTTCGCGTTCACGTGGTTTTCGGCAAAGGGGGGATAACTCCTGAATGGAAAGACGCAGAACACTGAATATCGATAGGGTTCATCCTCTCATAACCCCAATGCTTCACACCAAATTTGAAAAAAGTCCATTAAAAACTATAGCCTCCATTGCGTTCACAAGGTTTTCGACAAAGGGGGATAACTCCAGAACGGAAAGTCGCGGAATGCTGAATATTAATAGGGTTCATCCTCTCATGACCACAATGCTTTACACCAAATTTTTAAAAAATCTGATAAAAACTGTAGCCTCTTTCGCGTTTACAAGGTTTTCAGCAAAGGGGGGATAACTCCTGAACGGAAAGAAGCAGAACGCTGAATATCGATAGGGTTCATCCTATCATAACCCCAATGTTTCACACAAATTTGAAAAAGTCCATTAAAAACTATAGCCTCCATTGCGTTCACAAGGTTTTCGATAAAGGGTGATAACTCCTAAACGGAAAGACGCAGAACGCTGAATATCGATAGGGTTCATCCTATCATGACCCCAATGCTTCACACCACATTTTCGACACAGGGAGGATAACTCCTGAACGGAAAGACACAGAATGCTAAATATCGATAGGGCTTGCCCTCTCATGATCACAATGCTTCACACCAAATTTGAAAAAGATCTGTCAAACACTGTAGCCTCTATCGCGTTCACAAGCCAATTGTTGACGGACCGACAGGGTGACGACTATATACGTCCACATGAAAATGTACGAAGCTGAAAGGGTTCATCCCTGTACTTTCCGGGAGGAGGTAAAAATAAGGAACGATGGTGTTGTAGCTTGATACAGTTTTATTTAGAAAACAAATTCTCGTTCTCTCAAATTCTCTCGTTCACTGAAACATGAACAAAATACGACTATTATCACATTATGTACATCAAATTAACAAACTTTTATAATAATATTTATAATAATAGCATTTATTATATTATAGCAGATATATATATATATTGTTACATTCGTTTAAACTAAATATAAAAATATAAGGATAATTCAGATAGATTGACTACTTACAAGCTTTGGCACCATAAAATAAGACGCTCCCAAGAAAGTTGAAAATCGAGCGATAACTAATCGATCGTTAAAAACGGATCGATAAAAACTGGAGAACGTCAAGTTGAAAACTTGACTATATAAAACGTAAACAGAGGGTCCAAGTTAAAAACTTGGTATCAATAGCTCAAGTGTTAACGCTCATGTGTGTGCGTGTGTGTGAAAAACACTCACGTTCCAGTAGTAACGCGTCTCACGTGATATACACATTCGTTGTTAAGTAGACTCTATTAAACAGACACTTAAATATAGAAATACATGAAAACGAATAAACCTATAAACATAATAATAAATGTATATTAAATACTGCGTATTAGCATAAAACAATATATACAACGAACGGGAAAAACACTACCCCACCCTGAGCCAACTAGCTCAGAATGTACGACATAAGGAATAACCAATTGTACATACCGATATTAATCTACATAAAATACATTATTTTGGAATATTCAACTAAGCTAGAACTCCAAATTCAAACGTCTGAAAAAGACTAAATGACGAATTAACAACCCAGCATAAAAACAACATAAACAAAAAGTTCTAGTAAATAATTTTGTTCATCAATCAGCTCCTTCTAAAAGAACAAGTTTATTAATAGGTCGAATAAATTCAGAAGACCTGGTTTTAACCGTTGATGACCTTACCCTGCCGTCCCTACCTACCTTGATCTCTTTTACTAATGCCATGGGCTAAAGTGATCGGGGTAAAGACTCATCAAGCAGCAATACTAAGTCACCAATCCTTAAATCGCGCGTAGTAGTTTGCCATTTATAACTAACTTAAGAGTTGGCAAATATAACTTCAACCATTTTTTCCAAAATAAATCAGCTAAATGCTGAACATATTTCCAGCGTCGATGATAAAAATCATTGACAGAGGTGACTGCAAGAGGTTTACAGGAACCGCTATTAAGAAGCAAGATTTGGTTGGGAGTAAGAGCTTTAAGATCCGTGACATCATCACTTACCTTAGTTATTGGACGAGAATTCACAATGCTTTCAATTTCCGTGAACAGGGTAACTAAAGAATCATGAGAAAGGTCCTTTGAAAGAGACATGGAAGTGAACACACACCAATGAGGCTTTCCCAAGCGCCTCCAAAATTTGACGCTTTGGGAGGATTAAACATCCATTCAACATTTTCCAACGTGAAAAAAGATGACAACCATTTGTTAACATTCCAACCATTCACTGCAGATCTAAGTTCATTATTAGCACCTATCAAATTCGAACCGTTATCTGAAATAATTTTGGAAGGCTTGCCTCTACGAGATTGAAATCTAACGTAAGCATTAATCAGGCTATTTGTGTCGAGAGAGTCAAGTACTTCAATGTGAACCGCTCTAGACACTAAACATGTAAAAATACACCCATAATTTTTTAAGTATTTCCTACCAAATTTCGTATAAAATGGCCCAAAACAATCAATGCCTACTCTACTAAAGGGGGGTTCACATGGTGTAATCCTGTCCAGTATTGCTGAAGCAAGTTAAGTCTGGTTAAAGGGTCATCAGTAAAGTTTTCAACAGATTGTTTGAATTGATTGATAAACTTATAATATTTACTAGGTGAGCCATCAAATATTTGGAGTTCTACCTTTGGCAATTGTAACAATTTTAATAATTCAGTTACAATTTTATTAATTCAGTTTAACTGCTATCTAAACTAGCTGATTTATTAACAGATTCACTAACATGTACTATCACTAGCCTTTGGTTTAGTAGACTCAGAATTTTCATCATGCGTGTATACGATGATATACATGTACATCACGTTTGGACAAGATTCGTAAAATTGTCTGGCCTGTATCGTGTTAACAAGGCAACTAAAATGACTATTGAACTCGGTCTAAAATATTTCAAAGTTCCATTTAGAATTGTATAGAGCCATACCATCTCAGAGACACGCAGTGATTATGAGACAGTTTTAACTATCTACATTTATACCAGACACTTTTACATTTCCAAAACCATATGAACCTACAATTATAAACAGAAAAGATTCTTCAAACTTTTTTAAAATCTTGAATCAACCCTGTATTTGAAAAACAAACTAAAGGTGCACATGTATTGGCACTTGGGAGATCACTTGATTTATGGTCAAAAACAATTAGCCCACATTCATGTCTCTTGGCAATCTTGGACTTCCAACCGAGGCTTGTAACACATGCCCAGTGTTTAGAATAACTTCCTCTTCAGTTCCACAATTAGGATCTATCCATGTAGTAGTATATTTGAAAAAATATATAAACGTTCTTGTTATAAATGAGGTTTTTAAGACACATGATATTGTTTTAGACCACATAGATTTAAGCAATAAAATGTTTTAACAGACTAAAAACAGCAGTAGATCTGAAATGAAATTTATTGTCCACTCAAAACCTACATGTTGGTGTGTAATATTGAGACAAATGCTGGTTTATTTTTATGTTTAGCTGTGCAATGTAGAAAATTTTGCCTTGGCATCTACAGTCTGTTCTACCAATTTGCACACAGGAAATTGCTTAGCCGTAGCGAAAAATGTTAATCATTGAATTCAGTCAAGACATTCACCTATTAAATACGTACATGTACACCAAGTTTGAACATCCTACCTCAATTAGAAGGCGAGTTAATGTGTTCCAAAGTCTTGACCAATCAGATTGAAGTCTCTACTTAGCCCAAGCAGAAAATGCTCATCATCGTACTTAGTGAAGGTATTGGGGTAATGAAAGCATACACCAAGTTTCACCACTCTCACTTAAATAGAATCGAAGTTATCAAGCTCCAAATGTGCGGCCAATCAAATTGCTTATTGCTCTGCTTACACTGATCAGAAAATGCTCATTATCGAACTTAGTCAACGTATTGATGTGAGGAAAATTTACACCAAGTTTTATCATTCTCACTTAATTAGAATCAAAGTTAATCTGTCCAAAAGGATCGATCAATCAAATTGCTTATCTCCACTTAGCCTTAAAAGAATATGCTCATCTTCGAACTCCATCAAGGCATTCACCTAATAAACACCCACACCAAGTTTGAACATTCTAGCTCAATTAGAAGTAGAGTTATTATGGCCAAAAGCATCGACCAATCAAATTGCTTATCTCCGCTTAGCCTAAGCAGAGTATGCTCATCTTAGAACTCCTTCAAGGCTTTCACCTAATAAACACCTACACCAAGTTTGAACATTTTAGATCAATTAGAACAAGAGTTATTGTGTCCCAAACAGTGTGACGGACAGACAGACAGACGGACGGACAGACCCATTTAATAGGCAGGGGACAATAAATAGATTTGTATAGATATAACACATTGCTTACTTTCAAGTCTATTCAAGAACTTCTTAAAATTATAGACTATGATTTCTTCAATAGCGTTCTCTCTGTCATCAGTTGAATAAGAAGGTAGAAAAAAGGTATCTGTCATCTGCAGAAGGATAGATATCCATTTGAAGATATGATTTAGCTTCTAATGGATATTTTTGAAGAATTTCCAAAATATTATGAAGTTTCAATCCTTGAAAATATAAAAAGTATGATGGGGGGATTAAAAATATAGATGTTTGAAATTAACATTTTACAATAAAGAAATACCTCTACATTGTCTAAATTTAGAAATTACATGGTGGAAATTAGAATGGACTTTTGATGATAATATTCCTCCCATAAATCACCAACTAAATTATGAACATATGTTATTTACTATATCAAAAATTTAGGCATACTAGCTTAGAATTAATTCATCATAAAATTAAAGCATTTAGCAAACAGAATTTACCTTCCATAAACTGGAGAATAGCTGCCATAATACGAAATAATATAAAGTGCGCTTTTGTGGCAGAAATTACTTCTCTTTTATTCCCTTCAGATAGTACTTTGCTATATCCTGTAACAAGCAGTACATCAATATTTCTGTTAAATACATCAGTGATATTTTCTTGTGTAGCATTTTCAATCTGAAAAAAACAAAACCATACAAAGAAATTATCAAACAAAATCTCTCAAAAATATTGTAGATTCAAAATAATCAATATAATTTCTATTCTGAACAAATAGTGATTAATTTCTTAATGAACAAGGGCAACAGTTGCTAAGTATTCTTGCAATGGCTGGAAATATAAATATTCATGTATAAGTAACTATTTATTCTGGTTGAAACTGCATTCTTTGTCCACAGAGTACAGTAAAAAAGGGACTTGCCCCCACCTTATACTGAAACAGGGCCTATATGCTAACTAGGATATCCCTGAAGGAAATGGGCTAATCTTGATTCCCATAGTGGAAATAATGAGGAAATGAGTGGCAATACTGTAGATGAAAGGAAAGGTTCTAAGAACACACTGGCAGCTATAGCTGCAACAATTCATCAGTGAATTAAGATATATAAATATTATATATGGTACATTAGTACTTTGCATCGTGATATATTGTACATCTAATTAATTACCCATAGTAAGTTTTCAACATTGCAAGGCAAACACTAGAAAAGAGATTGGATATATGTTTGTTCTAATATAACCCAAGTTTATAACCAAAATTCACTTTTAAGGTGATTTGAATGTCATTTGTTGTGTATTTAGGGTAACAATGCTGCCAAGTCTTCCATCACCCAATCTGAACGACAGACTCACCCTACCTGCAGAGAAGTGACTCTGGAACAGTGAATAGCCATGATATCCATATGCCGTTATCTAAACGTCACAGGTCATGGGGTCACATCAACAAACAAATGTAAACACCATCATTATGATCATTATCAACATTACAAGACACAATGTTACATTGTAAACAATAGCCTTTTTGCAGCCTTTAGGACTGGATAATCCGTACAGAACGTCTTATCGCTTCTTCCAATGATTTTTCACAAAAATAGCATCATCTACAACTCTAGATTTGACGTCGGCATATTGACACTATTTTGTGCTTCGGTCGTGTCTATTTCAGATATACACAATCAATTCTGTTAATGTTTTTAGCGTGGGGATTGACTAAAAGTTAATTTATTTCAGTTCTAAACAAAAATTTAAAACTTTAACGCAATTTTAAAAAAAATAGCCAAATTCTGGCTGGGATTACTGAGCAAAATGGCCATTCACTGTGTACGTGCGAAAAAAAAAGCCAGCTACCATTTAATTTTCGTACGTTAGTTACGTACGTTCCATCACCATGTGCAACAAAGATTGAAAGCGGAAGTGCGGTTAAGAGTTTATTTCTATGGGATCGTTTATTTTTCCGGGAAAAAGCAGAAAATCTCGAGTAGAAAATCTGAAGTCGAATTTCAAAAGTTGATTATTGGAAGTAGAAATTCTGTTGTTGAAAGTAGAATATTTACGACTTAAAGTTGAAAAGGTGGACGTATTAGGTTGAAAAGCACGAGCGGTATATGTTTCCCACACAAAAATGTCCATTTCGGAAAAGAATTTTCTCTTTTGCTTTTTATTTTCTACTTTCTACTGCAGATCGCATTTTGAACCCGATACCCCGCCATAATCTCAGGTTTAAGTGGGTAGATTGAAAGGGGGATTAGACCTGTAAAATAATAAATATACCCCGATTTTAAAACAAAATAAAAATAATTTTGTGGTCATAATATCCACGTTTACCACTGCAGAAGTGAGTTGTTCTTTCCTTAATTCCAGTCATCACTTGGAAGATAATATTGGCAAAGTCACCTCAGCGTGGGTTTGATAATCGTTTTAGCGTTGGGGACGAACTTCTCCGAGGAAGGTGGCAATGTTACGGTCCAGGCGATTCCAGTCCTTTGCTCGTCGATTCCGACTGAGAGTGTTAAATAACGAGACCGGCTCCCTTGTAGAGTTCACGCCCAAAACACGCCGAAATAACGATGTCATACATTACCATGTATCACAATATAATGCCCGGGTACCCACCTTGTCCTGGTCACATAATTATATTTATTACATTCCTGTTAGGCCAATGAATTGACGCAAACCAGTCGGCGAAACAAGAAATTTTGCACAAGGGAGAATTTTTAGCGACACTGCTAGAGTTAGGGTTAGGGTTGGGTTTGATCCAGAAATTCGGGTTTGGTCCAAATATTCTGACGTCATGTGCAATTCAAAGTGATTGATTCCGTGAGGAATGTCTCTTCGGCGACCAAGCTTGAAACAAGCGATATCAAACAGTCGGCGGCCATGACACTTTGGCGCGGTCAAGGCTATAACGTCGTCATTTCTAGTAACGCTCGTGTTCATTGGTCGACAACTGACGTCATCGGAATCCCCTTATAAATAGAAGCAGACGACGAGGAAATCCTTAGTGTCATTCACTTCACTCATTAAAGCTCCTATCAAAACTGACAGCTATTTGGATTTTTAGGATTGGAGGCTATTTAAAGGCTCATAGGTTTGGTTGAACCTTGATTGCGGTTTGATCCAAGTTAGGCCTAGATTAGTTGTGGGCAAACCATTTCCCCAACTTTCACCATTTCCTTATGTCACCAAATTTCCAATATATTCCTGTTGGTGGCTCACCCAAATTATCTCCCCTTAATGCGATGTATCTAATTATAAATAGATCCAAATAAAGATACTTATTTTTGTCTACACCCGAGTTTCTTAGTTCTTCCGATTGAAGTGCTAGGCTGGAACGAACCCCTAAAAAGTCTCTAATAAATAGTCGAGACGCAACATTTTCACCCAAGAAACTAGATTATTTCGGATAAATCATCACATGATTGTATCTTTAATTCAAGCAGTGGTGCTCGAGCAGTGGACTGGGACTGTAGACCCCGAAGAAACCCACTAGATTTGGCAACATAACGACTCCATATGACCTTATATGGATGATTACTAAGTGGAAGTGTCCCAATTCCAAATTTGGTTGATGTTCGTACTAAACATGTAAAGCCCCAATGAAGAGTGCTTTGTTTCATTTTAAAACAATAAAAATACGATGAAATAGAATAAAAATTGACGCTGAAAAAAACCCCGATGATTATTAAGTGTCTTAAATTAGAAATTACACGAATAAAAGTTAGATGATAGCACGACATTAAGAAATTTAGAATCTAATATAACGCCATAAGCTAATAGGTAAAATAGATAATACATTGAAAAGACATGCTATCGAAAACATTCTGTCTACGGGGTGGGATAGTGAAGTCCTTCGTGGGCATTGTTTATTATCAACATGCATAAAATTGAAGGGGTGTATAGTTTTGAAAGTTAAAGGGGCTATAATTTATTGAGACAAAAGCCTCGAAAGAAAACTGTGATTATTTCTGGTACTACACGAATATTAAGAAAGCGTTTGCGAACCCCGTGGAGTGTACTAGCCAGTTTGATATACGTCATTCTTCTTTCAAGTAACCCTTTGGATGACATTTTGTGAACCTCCATTTTCCTACATATTATTCAAGTGCCACCCTCTTAAGACGGGGGGGGGGGGCTAAGTGGGTAGCCTGGAGGTCGGGTTTTCGATCCCTGCATTGGCTGAGAAAGTACATCCAGATTTTCCGGCGTGGTTCCCCTTTGTCAGTGATGCAGGGCGGAGGGCCTGACAAGGACAGCTGTCTATTCGTTCGGATGAGACGAACAACGAGGTCCCGTGTACACATTGGCGTCCACGTAAAAGATCCCCTGACAGTTGGAATTCGATACAAGAGTAGGCCGTAGTGCTGCTGTCCGGGCAAAATTTCCCTCATAGCACACTTTCTGGCGTATGTCCGTCTTCATTATATCCCAGTCGGAACAGAACAGTAGGACGTTAAACCCTATTCCATTTCATTTCTTAAATCTTTACTTTGTCTAAGTATATCCCTGTCTGTCGGCGTAGGGCGTATGCGCTGGGTGTCCGTACAATAGCCTGCATGGATATTGCAACTCGTTGGTGGTTAGAGAACAGTCAGCGAGGAATCTTTATAATTACACGCATGGCTTCCCAATCCAAAAAGACTCGTTCATTAAAACGTATGTCGATCGAGCTAGGAATTGGAACCTAACAATATACCAAATAAATCATTCCGAACCTGGCCCAAATTTCTGCTTATAAAAATAATACTAATGTAGCAAAATACCCTCCTTTCTTAATTGGTTAAGGTCTAGCTGTTAGTGGAATGTGCTATAGAATCTCATGCTTCATCATTACTAAAATCAACGACTTTAAGCAACATTCCGATCAAAGTTGCACCGCATAGTTAAAAGGTGTAATGAATCCAAATGTAAAACGTGTTAAATCATAATTGAGGCTTCATCCATTATAACTATTACGGACAATTTTACATTTCATGCACAACAACGAATGGCTTGTACATCCGATTACATTATATATTTTATAATTTGTCCGGGCTGTAAGGGTAGATATATCGGAAAGACCAAACATATGCTTAGATTAAGAATGAACCTCCATCGGCAACATATTCTTAATCCGCTATACAGGATGATACCCTTGAGCTGACACCTCGATGTTTGTGGCAAATTCATTTTCAAAAACCCAGGTCCCGTGTATACATTGGCGTGCAAGTAAAATATTCCTTGGCAGTTGTAATTCGATATAAGAGTAGGCCGTAGTGCCGCTGCCCGGGCAAAATTTCCCGCATAGCACACTGTATGGCGTATCCCCGTCTTCATTAGCCCAGCCGGAGCAGAACAGTAGGACGTTAAACCCCATTTCATTTCATTTTTCATTTATTTCTAATATCTAACACCTGAGAGTAGCTTTAACTATACTATAACCTTTTAATATATTTAAATATTTATACGCATACAAATTTATTTATATTTAATTTTACTTACTGTGATATTATTTTTATTTATGCATATAATTTTTTCTGTGATATAATTTATCCTGTCTCGAAATAATCACCATAATATGTTTAATTTGAAAAGATTTTTTGTCAACATCCTGTAATAAAAGCAAACCACGTGAATTCACTGAATGGGGAACATTAATACCGATGGTTATATTAAAGCGACGATAGGTCTATTCACGCCAAAATAATTTCTTAAAATTAATCAGTTTTTAATCATGCTAATTTTTGAATTTTTATGTATTGATTAATATATTCCAACAGTTTCAACTCTGCTACTTTGTAATATTCTTGAAAGAACTCCTGATCTTTATCATTCGATAACGTCACTTACTGTACATACACGTTATATTGGTAGAAACCAATTGAAGAATTGGAGTTTTCACATGCTGTATTTGAGAAATGTAGAAGTTTGTAAGGTGACCATAATATAGACAATATAGTATGTTTGTATAAATTAATAATAATATTGTTACCGTAACAGTTCATCGTGATTTTCCGACGTGGTTTCCCCTTGTCAGTGGTGCAGTACGGAGGACCTGACAAGGACAGTTGTCCAGTCATTGGGATGAGACGAAAACCCGAGGTCCCGTGTATACATTGACGTGCTCATAAAAAAAACCTTGACAGTTGGAATTCGAAATAAGAGTAGGCCATAGCGCCGCTGCCCGGGCAAAATTTCTCTCATAACACACTGTATGGCGTTATGCCCGTCTTCTTTAGCCCAGTCGAGGTAGAACAGTAGGACCTTAAACCTCATTTCATTTCGTTACTTTAACATTAAATCACCTGTCCATCCTATATGTGTAATTTACATCCTGGTTAAAAGACCTGCGTAACTCAAGCTATAAATAAACAGGCTGTTAAACATGAACAGTTCACAATAACATAGCCGATCTTTGCATATCTAATAGATTTAATGTGTTACAGGCTATACATTCGAGTCAGTATTATTAATAGTTTGCTGTGTAATATATAAATTGAACATGTTGGAGGATCAAGAATTTATGAAAACCATATTTGCTGTGTTTCTTCTCATACCTTTGACTGCAGGTTTGTTAATATTGATATAATGTTTATATTGGTTACACAAACGCTATAGAGTTTACAGTTATTTAATAAAGATAAACGGATAGAAGAACTATTATATTATTATCGACAATATCAATTGTGCATTTGTGTTTGGGTTGGTACTCTTTAAGAGTTGATATACATAAAAATTGTTTTTGTCTCTGTATTTCGAGGAGTAATTCAAAACTGAAATTAGCCGGTGAATAGACGATTATTTTCGTCTCATGAGTAACTTAACTATTAAAACCTTACTTTAACAGGATTGAAGAGTTATGCTTGTAATGGGCCAAAAAATGGATATTGTACGGAGCACAAAATATTGTGTGATGATAAAGACAAACGGATTCATAATATTTCCGGTTACTATGGCTTCACATATTATTATGTTCCTGATCACTCTTGCTGTTTAATAGATGATTATGACCCAGATGACTGTCTTCCTGGATTTAATGCCACAGTCCATTCGAATCTTATAGATTCATGTAATGGGAAGAAGACATGTAACTTTCAAACACCAATTCCAGATTTTAAATATTGCTCTATAGAAAACGATGATGATGGGAGAAGAAATAACTTCGGTTCTAATATATCCTCTTGCCATACTTATGATTTTTATACATATTCCTACATACAGTTTGAATGCTTGCCAGGTAATCAATGATATTGTTATATCATATAAATCAATAATTTTACGCTGATAACAAAACACAAATAAATAATACATCAGTGTCTCGTAATCGGGTCAGTCACACCCGTAGTCAGTCTTGGGCGGAGGGTAGTTTGATGGACAGCACACCCGTTAAGCTAATAGTGAGCTATATCGTGATACTTGTTTGAGTTATATATAACTTTTTGGGGCATTGTGATTTATTTTTTGCAAATAAAAATGAAATGAAATGGGGTTTAACGTCCTACTTGATCAGTTTTTATGACGACTATCACAACCTTAATCTGTATTCAAATGATTTTCAGTCACAACTGCCTTGTCGACCAGAAGCACAATCCCTACAAGAGAACACCGGGCGTATACTGTTAGAAGTACAATAAGGTCGACTGATCTAGACAGTTCCAAACCTGAAAAATCCACAGAAACCGACGGGCCTGAACATGTATCTGGAAGAACAGAATATATAATCTTAAATACTATAGCCATGGCCCTGGTTACAGCAGGTGACTATTACATTTTTATAATATCTATGTCGAAAAACGAGTAATATCTCTATAAAATAGTTTCTTTTTATTAAATAATAATGTGCGGCACACACGTTACTTCTATGGGGAATCTCATCAGCACGAGTGAAATAAAAACTGAAATAAAATTTATCAACAAGGCCATAATGAAGGAAACACATATCTTAGTTTACAATAAACATATTGATACTCATCGCGGGCATGTTCTATTTATTGTCAGACTATGTTAGTTATACTGATTTCCCATTCAAAAATATTAGTCTCAAATATGGAATCTATGGAAAAGGTGATCACCCTGTAAACCCAGCTGAAATATATATCATTCTTGCACAAGATAGTTTTGGGGTTACTTTGTGATTTATAAACCAACTTAACAATAAAATGTTGTAATATTGATTATACAGACATATTTATTACAGATACGACTGATATTGCTGATTATATTAATATATGTATTATAGATATTGATATATTGATTATAGATATTGATATAATGATTATAGATATTGATATATTATTATTATAGATATTATATATTTATATATTTATTATAGATACCCCAACTAGAACTGATTATATTGATATATTTATTATAGATACCCCACTTATTACCGATTATATATTGATATATTGATTATAGATACGGCTGATATTGCTGATTATATTGATATTTATATTGATTTTAGCCAAGTCGAAGCAGAACAGTTGGGTATTAAACCCATTTCATTTCATTTCAGATATATGTATTATAGATACCCCAGTTATTACTCATTATATTAATATATATATATATTATTGATAGCCCTGGTAATGCTGATTATATTGACATAATATGTATTATTGATAGCCCTGTTATTGCTGATGATATTGATATATTTATTATAGATACGGCTGTTATTGTTGGAAGCGTCGTTGGATGTTTTCTTCTGGTCATATTAGTTATCATTTTTGTAGTCATTATATTAAAACGGTAAGGTCGATATCATTATACATAGACATTTTGTTTTTCTCAAAAAGACCAAAATATCAAGTTGAATAGAAACTAAACTCAATGGTATATGAACTTGACTGACCATTTTTTGCAACATTTCCCTAGTTGACCGTATGATCTCGCTGACCCCATTTTTAGATTTCTGTCCATCCCCATGAATACTGTAATAATATACTATTATATCATTATTTATCAATCCCTCTCATAATATATAATTAATTGACCTACTGCTATCTAATTAGTATATAGAGATCTTTGAAAAATATGGCGTGACGTCACATGCACATGATCTGGGCAATTCTCAGATGGCACAGAAGATGATACAGACCTACGTTACCGCGGATAACATTTATATTTCTAAACAAAACAGTTGATTAAAATAGTGTCTGTGATTTTCCTAACACGGCGAATGGAGAACGCTAAAAATAAAAAAAAAAGATAGAGATAATGCGATATGATGATCGGAATTCCTTTATTTCCACGTACTTGCTATAAAAATTAGAACTACCGGATATTCACAGCGAAACGAAGATATTTTAAAGTCAATTTGACGAGAATAAACAATAACAGAATCCATATAAACTTTTAGGCGAGTAAATAACGTTATCTTAAGAAGTGTTACTGCTTTACAAATTATATGTTGATATAGATAAATATATATTTCAGAAAGAAGGACACATGTTATAAAGACGGTGGTATCTCCATCACAGTGTACGAAACACGTAACTTGGTTCAATAAGGACGCTTCGCTCTACACTGATTTAACAGTGAGTAACCACAGTGAAATCGGAGACCAGCCTGATTATGAAAATTCTCCCGTTAAAGTTAGCAAGATCATAATGACTTTGTTTTAAAGAATGCAACCGTTGGAATTACATTGCCCCTGTCCATGCAATACAATATGTATTAAATGCATTATGATGGGTTTGCGATGACTGACAATAATAAACTTCAAACGGAAAGGAATTAAACGGGATTTAACGTCCTGTCCCAACTGGGCTAATGAAGACGATCATACTTCTGGATCATACATTGTGCTATAAGGGAGATTTGATGGCACACCAGCGCTGATTTATAGCTGTATTTCGACAAATATATGATGAATAGTACGAGAAAAACTATATGTAATCATTGAATGTATATATGTACATGAATAAACCAAATATTACTGAATATCAAATAATTAAAAATAAAATAAAAAAAAACACTAGCTAACTAAAGCACGTGTGCTCATTTATAAATAGAACACCCAACCTGTAATTATTTCCTTATCACGTTGTCCACCGGCTTGACATTGTTTATCATCTATACTTCCTTGAGGGTAGGTATAATATATGCTTTCTTCCATGCTGTTGTCACCAGGGCATAAATCTGAAAACTCTGAAGCATTATCTTTAATGTTGAGGGGCAAAAGGTGCAACCCTAGTTGTTGGGGACCATGGCATGATCCTGGTTGTTGGGGGATGGGTTGCCAAATGGTTCGCAGGTGTGCGCTGCATCATAAGGTCTGTCATTAAGTCAATTACTGACGTGGTTTCGAGTCCCCGCGTGTACGTGATAAGGAGTAGGGAGGCCTGTCCGACCTCGTGGGTTTTCTCCAGGTCCTCCCACTGCTAAGACCTCTACGCGCAAGAGAATTATTGGAATAAAATTTAACCACATGTAAGTCCCAAAATGACCTAGATTGTGTCGAGTGGACGTTAAACCATATTTCTATTTCTCTCTCTCTCCTGTTTGTTGGCGGTAACAGTACAACCCTAATTGTTGGGGGCAACAGTACAACCCTGATTGTTGGGGGTAACAGTATAATCCCTGGATGTTGGGGGCCATGGTATGATCCTGGTTGTTGGTGGTAACAGTACAACCTTGGTTGTTGGGGCCAAATGTATGATCCTTACTGTTGGAGACAATATTGTTATAAAAGAGTAATGAAAATGATAGCACCAAATGAATATTTAGTAGTCTCATTACAATAGTGCACACGTTTGACCCAGCCCCCCCCCCCCCATACACCCGTCTTGAATTTTGTACCATTTGTGATTATATGAAAATAACTCGTTAAATTAATGAATTGTTCGTTTATTACAGCACAAAACGTAGGATATGTATACAATCGTCTTGATATACTAGTTTAATTTCGAACATTTTCAGTTTATTATTTAAGGTATTTGAAATGAGCGGTAAATATCATTTAGCACAGTCTAATATTACTGTCTTAGGATTTGTCTTATACAAACCACCAACCCAGTTTGCTACCGTGGATAGTGTATAATAATGATATATGAGTTTTACCTGTCACGTTGCATTTACACACTCTATATTTAACACCTATTTAGTTATTTATATTAAACAGATATTTATAATTGTACAATAATAACAGCAGGTATTACACAGACTGTATTTAACACCTATTTAGTTATTTATATCAAACGGATATTTTTAATTGGACAATAAAATAACAGCAGGTTGATTTGTTGAGTGGGAAATCAGTAAATATAAATGAAATGAAATGGGGTTCAATGTCCTACTGTTCTGCTCCTAAACTGGGCTAATGAAGACAGGCATACGCCATACAGTGTGCTATGAGGGAAATTTTGCCCGGACAGCAGCACTACGGCCTACTCTTATATCGAAGACCAACTGTCAAGGGATCTTTTACGTGCACGCCAATGTGTACACAGGACCTCGGTTGTTCTTCCCATCCGAACGACTAGACAGCTGTCCTTGTTAGGCCCTCCGTTCTGTATCACTGACAACGGGATCCACGCAGGAAAATCTAGATGAGCTTTCTCAGCTTTCTCGGCGAATACAGGAATCGAACACCCGACCCCAGGCTAGCGGGCCAGCGTCTTACCCACTTAGCCACCGTGGCCCCTTATCTAATAGGAATATCAGTCCAAAAATGATTCAATTCCGTTCAGTGAATACAAAATTAAGTTAAATTGAAATTTCATTGATCTATGCTACTGGCTATGTAATAATCCGGTCTCCCATTTGTTGTAAACGAACAGAAATAATAGGCTTTTTTTAAAATCCCATTGAATCAAAGCCTTGGGGGGGGGGGGGTGTATTTTTATTACGTTTTATATATTTTAGCGAAAAATGCGCATGATGTATTGTTACTTTAAATAATATTAGTCCGGTTTGCATTATAGTACATATTTAAGTTATATTTTTGTAAAGCCAGGCTGACACTTGCACGACTTTTGGCCACGATTTTGTCGTGGCAAGTCGTGCACTTTTGGGGCACGAACTGGGAGGCTCGCGCACTGTTCACGACTATAGTTAACGCATAGTTCACGACGAGTTCACGAATGCGTGCCTATCAGTGACCCCATTGACACGAACTGGCAAAACGAGTTCACGCATAGTTTGCGCATTGTTTACGCACTTCCCGCATTGGCACGACGAGTTTGCGCAATTCGGACGGTGTCGTGCCGACTTTGGCATGCCATATTCGTGAACTAGTCGTGGCAGTTCGTGACAGTCGTGGCATGGCGCGCACTGGCACGCATCCTCCCGACGAGTTCACGAACAGTTAGCGCATAGTTCACGACCCGGTCGCTAAATTTTTTCGTGAACATTTCAAAATTCTTGTCCCGACATGGCACACAGTCACGACGGGTTTACGCACACTTCACGCCAGTTTACGACTCGAGTCGTGCCAATGCGTGCCACGGAATCGTGCAAGTGTCAGCCTTGCTTAAGGTGTTGATAAAGCGTTGATAAACTATGTCAACGTTGTACAAGGAAGTTCAGATAAATTTGATATTAATTGTGTAGGTATTCACACACCGAAACACTATCAGACAGGACATATAACTAACAATGTAAGTATACATTTTTACATTACTGTAAAGTTATACAAAAGATAAACGAACTAAGACTGTTCAATCAATTAACCGGACGAAGAACTCTGAATGCAGGAGTCGCCTATATCTATGTAAGGTGCCCACGCATTAAATTAGTTACGCAGTTGTAACACGAAACGACCTTATAAAGATCATTGCTAGGTTGAGGTGTCACAATTCTAAATTTGTTCAATGTTCGAGCTAAAGTAGAGTGGCCCACGCTTCTATTATCTGTACTATATAAACTGACCTGTTTTAACAGCATGTTGTCACGCGGATCAAAACTTCGTTTATGAGAAAAGTATGGAAGCCTATTGCGGCCATTTCAGAATCTCGTCCCCTCGCCGCGAGAAGTCGAGGGCGAGAACACGAGAAGACGAGAAGTCGAGGGCGAGGGAGCGAGAACGCGAGGGAGCGAGAAGTCGAGGGCGAGGGAGCGAGAGAGCGAGAACGCGAGGAAAAAGGGCGAGAATACGAGGATCTCGCCTCGAGAACACGAGATTACTTTCACCTCGACTTCTCGTCTTCTCGTCCCTCGACTTCTCGCTCCCTCGTGTTCTCGCCTTTGAAAAACCTCGACTTCTCGCTCCCTCGCCCTCGACTTCTCGCTCCCTCGCGTTCTCGCCCTCGACTTCTCGCCCTCGACTTCTCGCTCCCTCGTGTTCTCGCCTTTGAAAAACCTCGACTTCTCGCTCCCTCGCTCCCTCGCCTTTGGGTCAATCTCGTCCTCTCGTGTTCTCGCTCCCTCGCTTCGTCACAATCTCGACTTCTCGTCCTCTCGTGTTCTCGCCTCGGAAGTGCAGTTTATAACGCATGTCCACTGACTACCGTATCGGCATTTGTATTCAGTCTGGTATTTTCATTCAAAGTCAAAGCCGATGGAAGCTCTAGCGATCAACAAAATTCTCAATGATTTGGGCTTAATCCATCTCTTAGATGTATTTACTGACAATTCCGTAAGTACTAAAGTAGCCTATCCTGTAGATAGATACGACTACAAGTTTTGTTTGGATTGTTAAGTTTAAATTTTTTCTCAGAATTGAATTACCCTTTTGTGTAGTCTCAATCAATATTATTATTAAGCGAAAACGCACATCTTTAGGCCCGTGACGTGTAGCCTGTATTTACTTCATTTTATTTAAATGTTAGGCCTAGATATTGGATATTTTCACAGGTTACCGATACCAGTTTAAATATGTTTTTTGTTAATATACCATAGGTAAACTATTTATTAAATTCATTTCATAAACCTAAGCCTAGTCCGGGATGGGATATCGTATTCTATTTATAAATTCAATACGTGACAAATCGGTCGTTTGCTGGGTTAATTTGGCAAGGTTGCATAACTTGCACGTGCTAATTCCATTGGCATTGATCATACAATTTGGTTGCTTAAAGCCCCAATAACACTCTTGTTGTAATTGAATAATATGTCCCAATTTTTATTCTGGTCAACAAAGTGTATTATTTTACAATATTCAAATAAATTGATGATACAAATTTCATCGTAACACACCTAATTTAAAAAATTGGAAAAATGCAACTACATGATTTGAAAAGGTTAACGTAGACCTTTTCAAATGTGACTTGGATTTTAAAATATTTTCGAACCCTCTGGACAAGTTAAATAGGTTGTAATGGATAATTTACACAACAGGTAGGACACATTAACATCTGGTACTTAGAATAAGACTATTAATTATTTTCTAGAGCTGCCAAGCCAGCAAGAGTGTTATTGTCCCTTTAACAGTAACAGCTAGGTCACTCGGTACAGTTAGGTGCCCTATAGATTTCCGTGTTCTGGAGGCGTAGTCCTATAATTGACCGAACGTTGCCATATTACTGTTTTATAATTATTGGATGTGGATGTGATTAAATGCGGCTCTAATATTTTAATTGGATGTGAATATAATTATAATACATTATTATCATTCCGGGGAAATTTAGGTCTTGTCATTAGAACTAGGCCTATTACAATAATATTTGGTTGTGAAAACTTCGTTTCTATTCGTCCACATGCCCATCTTATATTGTCATTTGAAAAACTATAACAACTATAAAACAAGTAGCCTATTTATAAAGTCCTATAAAACTTCCAGTAAGTCTGTATGTACATTTTTCTACTTTCTATTCTAGTAGCTGTTGATCGTCAGTGACCAGGGTTTAAGCCACCTGTGCAGATGTCATCAAGGTCACTTTAAGATGTAAACAGCGTTAATTATAATTAGGCTTTTAATTAGGGCATGTGATTGTTGTGGAGGATTTGTGGGGTTAGGGCTAGTAGCACTAGTTCCCTAGCATCTCATGTTGAAAAACTATGATAAATATGGCCCATGATGCTTGATCACCTTTGAAAAGTTGTGTTGATGCTCAAGATCTAGAGGTTAAAGTTAATATTGAATTGACTTTAAATTTACACACAGTTTAAAGGTCATGAGATGAAGAATCCTATTGATTTTCAACATTTTCCAATAGTTACTGCCAGAGTTATGGCCCTTGATCTCTTTAAGATATCTTGTTGACGCTGTATAGACAATATTTATAAACTTAATATCAATTGACTTTTAAATTTAAAATAGCATTATGCAAGAGAAAAATCTGCTTATTACAGGTCTTTCTTTAGGCCTGAAATGTTATCTAAATAATCAATTAGACATTAATTAACATATCCAGACCATAATAAACTCTTTATGTCAAGGCTAGCCTTCGATGTTGGCGGATTAAATTCCTATATGCAGCTTAATGGCCGTTGATAATTAAATCAATCAAGTGGATAATCGAGACTATACTGTTTATATTAATGATTTGAGTAATGATGACCAAGGCTATGTGAATATTGGAAACACTTTTTTCTCGGCTAATAGTTGATCAATTTGACTGAAATTTTCAGCAAATTACCTTTACACTATCTAGTTTTTAACTATTATAGTGAGAACTGCCATCTCTTTATCTTATCTCCCATTATGTAACTTTAAAGAGTGTTTTAGGCCACAAGACACATTAGCCTATTTCCAATAATTACTGCTAGAGTTATGGCCCTTTATCGCTTCAAAATATCTGGTTGACATTCTAGACGCTAAAGTTAATAAACATCTGATTGATTTTAGATTTATATGCACTGTTTAAATTCACGAGACACAGAAGATTATTGATTTCAACAATTACTGCCATACTGTAGCGCGTGACCTCTTTCAAAAATTTTGTAGACTCTTGTGGCTAAAGTTAATATCTGATTGACTTTAAATAGAGATTACTATCATGAGACAAAGAATCCTATTCATTTTCAAAGATTTCTGATAATTACTGCCAGATTTAAGGTGGAGTGTGGACGCATTCATTCACTCTAAAGGCCAAAGTTGATATAAATTGTTTAAGGTCATGAGACAAGAAATCAAAACAAATGGTTTCTGATGATTTATACTTCATGGGTTATTACTTGTAATCAGATTTTCATGTGTTGTAAATGTTCTCATTACTGACTAAAGAAAAAATATGCTTTGGGCGTATGGTGTATGTTTTGTTGCCTGGCAAGAGTGGCAACCTATCTTCTATTTTTTTTACAAAGGTTTTGTTAAAGGCACTGAGGGACCCATGGTGGCTCGCTAACTGTCCTGTGTTTGATCCCTACATTGGCTGAGAAAGTTCATTGGAATTTTCCCGTCTGGTTCGTAGTTCCCCCTGTCAGTGATGTAGGATGGAGGGACAATGCATAGCGGTAGTCGTTCAGATGGGATGAAAAACAGGGATCCTGTATATACATTGGTGTGCACGGAAATGATCCCTTGACAGTTGGAATTTTGTAATAACATACTGCATGTCAAGCCCATCTTCATTTTGCCCGGTCGGAGCAAGACTGTAGGATGTTAAACCCCAATTTATTTTATTTCATTATAATCCGTATGTGTGGGCGTATGTTTTGTTGCCTGGCAACCTAATTTTTGATTTAAAAAGTATATCACCATTACACCCTAATGATGTTTGAATTTTGTGAAAATCGGACCAAAACTGTCAGACAAAATGGCCGCTCTTTGTCTGCAAATTGTGTATATAAGTAATACAAAGGTTATGGATACCCTCTAGGGGTCACAATTTTGATCCGATTTTAATTAAGCTTAGACCATATCTTCATATATTAAAAAAATCTTAGTCCCTTTTGATATTTGTGTATTTCAGAGTGTTACTTTTTGGATTATGGCCCCTGATTGTACCAAAATTTTTTGTTTTTTTTAGCTTATTCTCTTTTTATCCCTTGCAAAATGTGGAAGTTTCCTGCCTGGCAGCTGCTGATTATCCGATTTTAACGAAACTTAAAATATATCTTTATATCACAAAGATGTCAGTCCCTTTTGATATTTGCGCAATTCAGATCATAACTTTCTGGATTATAGCCCCTGATCGCATGGAAAATCACTTTTGTTCCAGCTTGTTCTCTAACCATCTCTTGCAAAATGTGGGCATATCGTGTCTAGCAGCCGCTGGTTTTCTTAATTAATATATGTTTATTTAACAGGTTGGCCCTCCAGAAGTTCTAACATTAACCGATTCAGAATTTAATTTCCTTGGTGTGAGTGCTATTGGGGACCATGCTAGGTTGAGACAGAGATGTAGAACATATTTGAATGGTAAGTAGCATGTGCAAAGTCTGGGGATAGCGATAGTAGATGTTGGCAAAACCGAAATACTGTTAAAAGTATGGATTGTAGTTAACTCATGTGTACAAACAAGAAATGTCAATGACAGACGGAATTTTAACCCCCAGAGTTAACTACAATCCATATTTTTTTTAAATCGAAATAAGCGCCGTTTATTTTCGATAAAGACCACTAGAGTTATGCCCCAGAGTTAGAACTTTATAATTTATATGCTGCATTTATTAACTTATTTTTATATGCCCACATATGAAATACGTTGTCACCAATGTCTGTCTGTCGGTCCGCCTGTCAATAATTGACTTGTTAATGCTATTGTGGATACAGTTTTTAACAGATTTTTTTTTCAAATTTGTTTTCTGGAATATGATAACTGCTACAGTGTTTTTTCAAATTGGGTGTGATGAATTGGGGTCATGAGAGGATGAACCCTATTTCTGCATCCTTCTGTTTCAGATGTGCTGCTGTCGAGGCAGAGCTGCTGTGTAGGCGTAATTACACACTTTGCAAGGCTATGTTTATAATATTTCAGTAATATATGCAATTGTCATATATCTGCAGTTTAATTATGTCTTTTTGAAATTTTTATCCTGTTAGCTGAATAACTGCTGGTAAATTTAGCTGCGCATGAGAACATGTTTGGTTAACTGCTTTTCACCCCAACTAGCATGTATGTTCTCATTGAAACTAGAACTTAACTTTAAGGAATATTGGGTATTAATTCCTTGTGTTTAGTTAAATTTCGTGGTCTAGATTTGTCTTTGAAATGGCTGCAGATCTTTCATATATAATGCATACCTCAATATGCTCAGTTTATCATTTTGAAGATTTTCAAAATCAGATACAGGTATTTTTAAAATCAAATAAGTGTTCTGACTGTACTATGAATGCTATATATGGATGACTGGCATATTGCCCTTGCTTGGCAGATTTAATCTGGCTGATTTAATCTGGTTCTTGTATGGCAAATGCATTTTCCATTCATTGGTTTTGACTTCACAAATTCAAATTTTCTAGGTCAGTGTGAATCGCCATCTTTAAAGAAATTCAAAGAGCTATCAGAAAAGAAAAAAACACAGAATAACAACAAGTTCAAGTCCAATCGTAGATTATATACTGGGTGGAAGTTATCTACAGGATAGAGTTTTAAACTAGTTCCACTATCTCAAGGAGGGGGATCTATAATTATGGATCTTCCCAAAGAGTATTCTCTTCCAGACCTTCAAAAAAAAATGATTGCAACTTTCTTCCCAGATGGTCAAGCAGTCCATAAAAACATAAAACTTTCACATTGTGAAACATTCATCGGAAATTTTGCTGGTGAACGTGTGCCATCAAGACTGTTGAATGGTGATCTTTTTTCCCTTGATGGATATTTTTCTGAGATAAAATCTAATCCTGTGAGATTATATTTGTATGCAAAAACCACAACGGTTAATCAACCACCATCACCATCAACTTCAACTACCACATTAAATCAACAAACTTCAGCTACATTAAATCAACCACCATCTCCATCAACTTCATCTACCACATTAAATCAACAACCTTCAGCTACATGTACTCAACCACCATCATCATCAACTTCATCTACCACATTAAATCAACAAACTTCAGCCACATGTACTCAACCACCATCATCATCAACTTCATCTACCACATTAAATCAACAAACTTCAGCTACTTGTACTCAACCACAACTAGCAATTAATGCTGTAAATTATGCAACAAATATCATCAATGATGACACAGATGATGAACTACCGGATATCTCATTTTATTCAGGAACACCAACTGTAAGTATATAAATAGAATAATTTATAATCAAGATGCAATTTAAAATGATGTTGAGGGTACAAAAAATACAAAAAAGACTATTGAAAATTTAGGACAAAGTTGGGCCTTTAACTCTATTCAGTTGAGCCCTCACTCACCAAAGGACCTTGGCCAATATTTTAAAGTCCATTAATCATAGAATGGCTACCGATTTATTTTGAAGAATAAGACGCAACCACCTACAGTCTGCTCCAGTAATCAGACTGATATCAAATCCCAAAGTAAAAGTTAAATTTGTCAGAAATACTCAATTTTTTAGCCCTCTTTTCAGCCCACCCAATGATCTTTCTTTATTATTTAAAATTGGCACAGCAGTCTTCATTATTGTGTGTACGTGTATGCCATCTTATGAAATAAGCGATCTTTTTACTTGCAGATAACCTTCAAGAAAAGTAAAAAGTAAGTAAATTGTCTTTAATAAATGATACTTTTGTTGGGCATATGCTCCATATTTTGAAATGATCCTCACAAAACTTTTAGGCTAGATTAAAACACTCACCCAGAAGGGGACAAATTTATATCATCATATTCATAGGCATATCTTTAATTCAGGCTTTAGATAAGGCCTGGTAAACCAGAGTCAATTGGTTTTAAAGGGTAAATGACTCTCATCAGCAAAGATTTTGCCCATTTGATTAGATTAATGCTTTCTTCACATGCATGGAAGTGGTGTGACTGTAGTTGATTCATTCTGGTATGAACTGATAATTTTTATGTGATGTGTTCGTAATGACAGACTGTTCTTTATGCAATTGTTATGAGCATAAGGTATACCGGTAGATCAAATTTCATTTGAGTGATTTAACAAGCATGTATTCTAGAGTTATCGTCCAAGTCTAATATCCAGTTTACCAAATGCATATATTTAGATTTATGCCTTACTCTTAAGCACTGATATCTAGGCCAATAAAGGCAAGAAAAAATTTAGACGGGCACAATATATCAGGTAGTTAAAACTATCTTAATTTTATTTTCAGAGCTGAGAGCTTGGAAGAGATTCTAGTTCGCTTGAATAGTCAGATAAAAAATGAGAAAAATATCATCAATGTAAGCCGAGGTGATGTTTTGTCTGGAACAAGGAGAGCGTTTTCCAGAAAAACCTTCAGGCCCGAATTCGGTTTAAGCGTCAAATTTTCAGGGGAAAATGGTATCGATGATGGGGGACCATCCAGAGAACTTTTACAACTTCTAATGAGCTCTATAAAAGATTCACAAGTGTTTCAAGGGTCAGAGTGTAAAATGCTCTGTCCTGATATCCCCAGTAAGTATCAAATGCACAGGTGAATCATACTAATAAAATCAGCATTGTCAACTGAAATCAACCTTTGTGACCATGCTTCCACTTGCTCCCAAGTAACCAGTCAGACTTACTGACATTATCTTGTTATATGCTCACATTTTAGTATGGTTATATATTGTCATTATTCCGGTTTGTCATAATATCTTGTTAACACCATGGAGGTTTTTAGTTTTGATTATATCTGAGCCAATTTGGTTGCCTATTCGATTGAAGGGAAAAATGCTATTTTACGGATATCTTCAAGTTATTTTCTTTTGCTATATATATCTTGTGGTCTTAGTGGCTTTATAGTCTGGGGTTTTAATGTTCTATTGTTCGGCGCTGAACTGAACTAATGAAGATGGGAATACGCTTACTGACTTATATGCGCATGCCAATGTTGTCATCAGACATTGGTTTTCCATCCGATCCGAACAACTAGACAGCTGTCCTTGTCGGGCCCTCGGTCCGGCATCACTGACAAGGGGGAACCACACCGGTAAATCTGGATGCACTTTCTCAACCAATGCAGGGATCGAACACCTGAGCTCCAGACTAGCGAGCCAGCGTCTTACCCACTGGAGGCTCAGTGCGGGGATATCTATTAGCTTAACTGCACGATTTAAATTATTTTTCAGGTGAAGAAAGAGATGATTACAGACTGTTTGGAAAAATCATATCATATTCAGTAATTCACCGTGGTAAGTATTTTGATATTCATTCCTTTTAACATTAAGTATATAGTGATGCAGGTAGCTGCAGTTACAATTGAATTTCTGGATGTTATCAACTTGGATGTCTGTAGTATGTCTGGGCATAAAAATGTCATTAGACACCACTTAAGATGAATTTTGAACAATAATCTATCGCTTTATCTACATTTAAGCCTAGAGAGATTTTGAAATTAACAAACAGCATAGGTATCTGCAGTTATTGTTGAACTTTTGAAAGCAATATTGTATCATTATAGTAATACAGTGTCATTTCAAGTATATATAGATATTTAACTGATATTATGCATATACCAGCTACCTATATTCTGTCTTGATATTTATCCTTATCATACAAACAAATTTCTGAGTGATTTTCCTTCCAGATTGATGTAAATTAAAACTAAAAACCTAAAACAAAATTATTAAATTTCTTTTATTATGTTTCTACAGATTTAATCAATCTGTTTTATTTAGCTTACTTTATTAGACTGCAGATGTTTGCAACCTTTAATTGGTGTTTTAATTTTAAACAACCTTTAAAGATACATTATATAAGAGCTAAATCTGCCTAATGTGGGTTTTTATTTAGGCCTCAAATGTTATAAAAACTATTATTTAGATATTTACTTATTACTTGACAAGCCTATAATCAACTCTCCAGCAGATGTAAATGGATGCAATACGATTGCCATTTAATGATTTAATTCAAACGTGGAGACGTGAGAGAGTCTTGATAAACAAGACAAGTAATGTTGCAGTGATAATAAAAAATTTGTCAGAACTTCAAACAGTGACAACATCTCTAAGAATAACTTAATTTGAGGAAATTTTCAATATATTACTTTTCAAATATAGTTATTTTTGAACTATTATAGCAGAAGCCAGCTCTTTATCTGATTCTTACATAATTGATCTGGAGCAGAAAAGAAGGATTTTAAACTCCATTTCATAATTTATATTTAAGGATCAAAGATAAATTGACTCATTTAATCTTAACATAATTGTTTCTATTTTTTCAATGTAAAGGTCCAGTGCCAAGATTCTTTTCTGGAATCCTTTATGATCTGATAGCTTTTGGCTCTTGTGAACCAAAATTGGATGACATAGTAGATTATCAAATCAGAGAACAAATTAAAGAGGTATTTCGAATGCTAGTGTATTAGATATAGATTTGTTCAGTAGTAAAATTCAAATGCAGGATCTTTTCTGTTTGTCAAACTGATTGTATCATACGGTGGGTGCCGAATCTGGTTCCAATTTAATTGTATTAGAAAATGCATATAAAAGCTGGTGTTTTGTTGTATGATTATATTGATGAATATTTTTTTTTTTTTCGTTTTTTAACAGTTGTCAAGGGCAGATGATGTAATAATGTTACAAGAGGCTGCTCAGCCTCTTATTGGCCATATAGACTTTTTAGGAGCTATACCTCTTATATTCGATGTAAAAAATAAAGAAAGTCTTGTCACATTATTAACACGGTATTTTGTTGTGGACAGGGTAAAAGGAGTACTGAATCAGTAAGTGAATGTTTTTTGATCACTGTTTATCTGAAAAATTGGTGTTCCTGGACGTAGAAAAGCTACAAGTTTATAATGGGGAGATAAAAAAAAGTGATGTCCTCCATAAGTCAATGCATGTTAATCCATAGGCAATTAATATCAGGAAAAAAAGTAGAAGGAAATGCGGTTTGCCTGAGAAATTTGTTAAACTTCCACATTGAATGACTTATTATAGAAATATGAACATATTTCATCAATAAATATCCCTAAACAACTAATTTTAACTTTATTTTAGGTTCTGTGAAGGGATGGATTCTTTAGGTTTGAGAAAGGAAATAATTAAAAATCCAGAAGTCATGAGAGAACTTTTTGTTTTCTCGTATGAAAAATTGTCGTCCATTAATATTGATCACCTGTTTACTCTGGTTTTTAGCGAAAACAGCTTTTCGCTTGAACAGGAATTAAACAGCCATGCTCATTGGAGAGATTTTCTTCTGGATCTTGAAGGTAATCATCCTCAAGTATATTTTTCTGTTTTTCATTGTCTATTAGTTCTGTCCCACCTTTATCATGTTAGATTAGTGAACCACACAACAGTACAGTGTAAATTTTTAATAATACCATGGGACAAATGGTATGGTTGCCCATGTCCATCTGACAGTCCATAGGTATTTCTTGTCTCCAAATATTGTTCCATTGCGAGCAAAGATATTAACTTTTAAAGGTTGGATAGGATATTTGCATTATTTGCAACCACCGTTCTTATCTACTTTTAAGTAAAATATATAAATATCCAATGGCATCCAGAGTTGATAAAGGCAGATTTAGCGCTTTCATAATGTACTTTTAATTTCTTGACAACTGCAGGCTTACAATAGATGTGGATGAAACTCAATTTTTATTTATCCTCTTAAATTTCAGAAACAGATGAACTGGGTAGTTTGTTATCTTTTGTGACTGGTTTAAAGGACATACCTCCACTGGGATTCAACCCACCACTAAAGCTACTGTTTAGACACCCATCCTTTGAATGGGACATTGCCCCGTTTGCAAATACTTGTGCTAATACCCTTAACATTCCAGTGTTAAAAGATTATGATGCATTCAAAACTGCAATGGCCATGTCTTTAAGAATTGGCAATATTTTTACTGACGCTTAAAATATTAACTTGCCTTTTTCTGTTTTACCCAGTCAGTTTGAAAGTTTTTAAGATAGTTATATTTAAAAACACTTTTTGGTCATACAACGTAGTCTGTTTTATCCAATCAATTTGATAGTTTTTAAGATAGTTAATTTAAAATTGCCCTTTTTGTGATACAACTTAAATCTGTTTTATCCAATCAGTTTGATAGTTCTTAAGATAGTTATATTTAAAAACGCTTTTTTGTGATACAACTTAGTCTGTTTTATCCAATCAATTTGATAATTTTTAAGATAGTTACATTTAAAAACACTTTTTTGTGATACAACTTAGTCTGTTTTATCCAATCAATTTGATAGTTTTTAAGATAGTTAAATTTAAAGTATTGCTTATGTTTGTTTGTGTAATAATTTCTTATTTACCTTTGGGGGTAACCCGTTTTAAATTTATTTCTTTGTGATATATTTTATGTTCTTTGATTCAGTTTTTATTTATTTCTGTGTAAAGCTGCAACAATCTAAGAAAATATGCAATGTATAAATTTTGCATTATCAATTTTTGCAGTCTGAGTTATTTATAATTTTTAACATAAAATTTTATGTTAAAAGATGTATAGTAGTAATGAAGCAGTATTTTTTACACCTGCAAACAGATAAAGTCCGACAAATATTACCTTTATATTTTTTTATCGTTTACCTATTAAATATGCTCTTTGTAACTTAATTTCTTTGTTGTCAGAATTGCAGTACCGGTATCAGTAAAACACAAACTACTTCCCTTTGCAAGACTTTTTGTACCAAATCCTATGCCTGAACATTTTGTACATGTAAATTTCCTACAAGAAACTGGTTTTCTATTATTTGAAAAGGAGAATTAAATTGTTTTAATTTCATAGGGAATTTCTTATTTGACAATGGGTAGAAATAATGATTAATATACAGGCTTTTGCATATAAAGTTAATTTGAATGTCTTCATTGCAATCACAACAAACCTTTTTAAGATTAAAATTCTTACATTAATTTTTATACTCCCACATTGAAATGTGGTTGTAAATTTTGTCGTTACCTTGGTTAGCTCTGTTAATATCTGATTGACTTAAGATTTATACACAGTGTTTAAGGTCATCAGACTGATTTTCAACCATTTCTAATATTTACTGCCACAGTCATGGCCTTTAATCACTTTGAAAAACATTGCAGATGCTCTTGAGGCTAAAGTCAATATCCGATTCACATTAAATTTATTAAGTGTTTAAGGTCATTAATGATTTTCGATGTTTACTGCCACAGTCATGGCCTATGATTACTTTGAAAATTCTTGTGGATGCTCTAGTGGCTAAAGTTAATATCCAATTGACTTTAAATTTATACACAGTGTTTAAGGTCATCAGTTAAAGACGCATCAACAGAACACAATTTTTATGGGAAACAATCACCGGTTTTATTCTAAAAGCACCACGTTTCGATAAGAGGATAGTTGTCGAAACATCAAATAAAACCAGTGATTGTTCCCCATAAAAATTTTGTTCTGTTAATTTGTTTCCCAATCAATAAATGCCACTTAAAGATTAAGTTAAAGACACTTTTTGATTTTCAACAATTACTGATAATTACTGTCAACATTATGGCCCTTGATCACTTTTAAAATCCTGTGGATGCTCCGACCAAATTTATCGTCTGATTTGATATTATATTCACTAAAACAGAGTTGAAGGTTATGAGATCTTATTGATTTTCAATGATTTTTGATGAACTTAAACAGCTAAATCCATGATATTAAATGTTTTGTATATTAAACTTTAGCATGAGCCAAACAAATTCTAATGATTTTCTGTTAATTACTTAATGAGTTGTTACTCTTAATCCGATTTATGTGCATTATAAATGTTTCATTAACGACAAAAAAAAATATGCAACTGTCCAGTCGATTTAGCTGCTGTGGGGGATTTTTTTGTTGAGAGGCAACCTATCCTTAAATATGGATTAGTGTACTGCCATGTGTTTTATTATTGTTGATGAATATGTTTAATGATGTTGCCTTAATTAGGTTCCATATTAAATTGGTTAAGTTTGATGATCAACTGTTCCATGTAAATTTTGGGTTAAACATGATTTTGTACCTTTAGGCATAGTTAATGTCATAATTTTAATTTCTTAAAAAATCCTTTTATTAAGAAACTGTTATTGTATCTTGTTAAGTTATTAAATATTCATAAATTTTTTCTGTGTATGTACTGACTACATCCCATAAAGACTAGGCCTTCTACCATTTTAAGATTCTAGATTTATTGCTGTTTTTAAAATGTAGGCTAGATACAGGATTTTTGAAAGGGACGGGATAGGGTGGTCAAAGGAAAGTCTTGAAGATTTTTCATTGATGGGTAGAAACCGCTTACACATTTGACTAAAAAACAACAGTGTAAGACAAATATGTATTTAATACATCTACAAGATCATTCCATGTCCGGATGGGCAATAACTAAAACCCTTTCACCCTTCCCCTATTTACGAAGTCCCACTGTTCAGACATACTGTCATGATTTTTTTGGGAGGGTTAAATATTACAGGATCCTAGACCTGGTTAAATTAATAAGTAAGATTGTATTTAATATTGAAATTTGAGGCCAATAGCTTAATTGCACCAGGTATCATGAAGGTGCTGACAATACAGTACCACCACCCCCACCACCTCACTGGTGCTCCTTAACTGTTTAGCTTATGCCTTCGATGGATTACAGTGCTTATCCCGAGAGGTGATTGTGACAAATAGAAGAGAAAATAACATACTTTGCATTTCAGGCCTATATCTGTTAATAAGGCCTTATAGGTAAAGCCTTTCCCAGCAACTAATCAAACACCATTTAGGGTATTCTGGCAAAACCTTATAGAGAGAGAGAGAGAAATGGGGTTTAACGTCCACTTGACACAAACTAGGTCCTTTCGGGACTAACATATGGTTTAATTGTATTTCCATAATTCGCTTGAGCGTAGGGGTCTTTAGCAGTGGGAGAAAACCCATGAGGTTGGACAGACGACCCTGCTCCTTGTCACGTACAACTGGGGATTTGAAACCATGCCAGTTGACTCAATAGCAGGCTGAACAATACAGTGTGCGCACGCTAACCATTCGACCATCCAACCCCCCTCAAAACCTTAGTTCAGGCTGATGAATAATAGGTTAATATACACCCTTGGCCTTCAATAAAAGCTTTGTCTTCCAAACTGTTTGACCAGCGGTTGCCAGGCAAGATACACCCACATTTTGCAAGAGATGGACAGATAACAAGCTAATATAAGATGTGTTTTAAGGAATATCAAGAGCCATAATCGGGCAAGTTACGATTCGATACGCTCAAGTATCAATATGAAAGCATATCTATAGGAAATAAAATTAAGTTTCACTGAAATTGGATCGGATAAAAAGAAAATTGTGACATCTACAGGGTCATAACCTTATTGCGTACGGGGAGTGGCTAGTTTGTCAAGCAGTTTCAGTCCGATTTTTATGAAATTCAAAATCAGCTGACATTATTGTGTAACGGTGATAAATTTAAACATTTATTCCAAATCAGGCAAAAAGTCTATCCTCTAGATGAACAACAATTGGCCAACACGGATTTTCAGACATTCAGGGGTCATAATCCAGGAAATTACCATTCCGATATATCAAAAGGAACCAAGATCTATAGGATAAAAACATATTTTTATTTTCATCAAAATTTGATAAAAAAATTGTGACCTCCAGATGATTAACAACCATGGTATTACATAACCTACTTTTACACTATCAGTCCAATTTTTATGAAATTCGAGCTCAACCATCATAACTATGTAACAGTGAAATATACAGTGGAACGGTTTTGTAAATCGGATAATAATTGTGACCTCTAGAGGGACCACATCGAAAGAAATCAAGATCTTTGGGTTATATTCTATAACCATACATTTCAAGTTTCATCAAAATCATATAAAAATTGTACCCTCTAGAGGGTCCACAAACACTGTATGTTTAATTAGTCACTTCTCATTTTTAGCCAACTATATAATTCTAATGCCTCTTCTGGATCATTTGGCATCTCTTTTCCGGCCTGCACTAACAATTCTGAGCATACATTTTCAAATTCTCTTAAACAACCGTTGGGTCCATAAAATTTACAAAACTGACTAAAACTATCAAGATCTTCAACAGCAACTTCGGTCTTGTAATCAACTGTATCTGAATATTAAAATGAAAAAAAAAATCACACAAAAATATCTGATATATGACATAAAAGCAGCTTAGTTTTCATTTAATGATCAAATAATGACCAAATAGTTTCTACCCCCATATGGTGAAAATAATTTCTCATATTAAATCTTGTGATTGTCGCCTTACCAAACAATTGTGGAGTAAAATATAACAAGTCTGGTTTGCCTGCAGGACACTCTGCCCCTTTAGTTGGTCTCATCTTATGTTGATTCCAGTCTTTACGGATTTGGTCTAAGTCTTTTTGAATGAGATTTGTGAAGCAAAACCTGAAACATTCTCTGTAAGACATAATGATACCAATACTGCATTATCAATATGAAAACTAATATGTATGCTTGTTAACTTTGCTGTAAACATATTATATTATATTAGTATTAGTTAATTCAAGCATATCAAAAAAGGTAAACAATACCAATACCTATAGAATGTATTACATTGTAGGGACCTTAATAATGGAGGCTCTATCATAAATATATGCCAAGTAGCCTTTCTTTATAACTTGGCACCTAAGTTTGACTACCGATAATCTAACTATAAACATTACATAAACAAGGCCCCAAGAAGTCATCTAAATGAATGAATGAATGAATGAATGAATGAATGGGTGTCACTTAAATACTACCCCTTAAGAACAATTAAAAATTATCCCTTAAGAACAATTAAAAGTTAAGTCAAGAATATAATTATTCTGTATTGCTTATTGTTACCTCAAGTAACCTCTAGTATATTAGAGGAAAGTTTGTAGATTTAATTATAGATAGTGACAATGGGTAGGCAAGAAGACATTCATAATGTCGCTCATAATAAAGTAATTTGACCGACATTTTCGATATATTCATTTTGCATTATCTATTTTTAAACTATTATAGACAGGCGAGATCTTTATCTAAATCTTACATATTGCATATTTAAATTTCATTCAGATTCAATTTAAAGTTTATTTCGATACAGTATTTTGGGGTAACAAAACAACCCTTTTGTATAAAATTGTCAATATTCATCATCCAATATCATATCAAAATAACCACACATATCATCACTTGCTAGAGTGGTGGTCACTATGATGACAACACATGTCCACATAACAGTATATGGATCTAAAAATGTTGAAATGATGTATACACACTTGTTTTGGCCATTTTCGGTATTAATCTCTCCTGAAGCTTCTAAATCCTTAAATAAATCCATCCAGAACTGACAACCACCCTGTTTTGCAGACCGCCAGAATCTTTCTATCCGCTACAAGAGACGATCATTGGTATATACTAAACATGTAACAACTTCAACAAAGATAAATTGCTAGACAACGAAACATACACCCACAGCATACAATTCACCCGAGCAGTCCACAGAGGGTGTCACATTTATTCATTCTTTCAAAGGTAATGATAGCATTCACAAGACACTACTAGTTCGGTGGTTAAAGGGGGAGGGGGAATCGTCACCCGACCTGTGAATTTATGAGACCGAGTTTTTCTCAACAAGTTTTTTGCGTAGATCCGAATTTGTGGTGTGGCCCCATTTTTTGCGGTCAGATTTTGCATTTTAAGATTCAGACATAGCATCGCAACATTTCAAAACTATTTCTGATCGTATTACTTATATAGTAATTGCAGGGGGATTACACCACACATAATTTACATAAAAACAAATATATGGACAAGACATCATACCCAGAAACCACAATTAAACAAACAATTCAAAAAAAGTGAATGGATTCGATGTCAATTTTGACATTTTTGTAGGCGTGGCAGATTGGGCAGATTAGGGATGTACCCCACTGAAACCAGTCTTCGAAGTGATAAATGGCAATAACTCTGAAAGTAATTATCAGCCACTTCATCTCATGTACATAAATACTATAGTCAATCGGTTAATCACTTACGCTTGTAAAGAGTCCACAAGAGGTTCAGATTGATTAAGGGTGATCAATGATCGTAAATTTCAAGAGAATCGGATAACAACTTTAGCAACCACAAAATTTTAAAAAGTGACCATGGGTCATAACTCTAGAGCATTTACACGCATATGTGGATGCCAGACTGTCTGAGGAAAGGCGGACAGACAAAGGGCGAATAAAAGGGACTAAATTGAAAATGTATTTGGTATTCTAAAGTTTGAATTTTTTTAATAAAAGAAAATTACCTGATTTGCCGGTGATGGTCCATACAAAAAGCTTTTTTCACCAGCCATGTCATCTCCATGATACCATCTTAGTGACTTCTGGATATTCTCAATTATTGAACTCCTATAAGTTTAAAATGGGTATTATTATATGCTAATAAATAGATGGGACATATTAATTAATTGCATTTACTTACATCGGTGCATACATTGTTTCTTGTGTGTGTGTGCTTTCATAAAGCATCGTGCAAGGCGAGGGGCAATATAATCATATGCGATTAACAACCTACGATTATGTACGCATCATTTTGCCATTGAAAGGGACAGATCTCTTAAGATACCACGTGGTTCGCCCTCGTCAATAATACCATACGAAAAAACTGGAATGCTACAATATTTGGGAACACAATAACAACAGCGTAGTACAATAGCCACAAGTGTCGCATTCTATGCCTCCCTCTCTCTCTGTATCGATGCACATTTCAATGTTTCGTGAGAAATTTCACATTATGCTTCTACTCTCACCTTCAATTCCAAGCAAATATTCTAAAAAATAGCCTGCAACCACCTCTGGATCATTGTTGGTTCTACCAACACGAAGCCATAAAATTCGTTTAGAATATTTGAAAATAGTTAATCTTAATCTGTAATACAACTTATTGTGATATGCTGAGCTGTTAACAATATTTTCAATCTCTCAGAAACTGAAAACAGGCAAAATAAACTTATTAGTGAAGCTGTAAGGTTCATTATTTCAAGTTGACATTATTCTCTTTTTGTTAAAGCTTTATAAAACTTGTTTTATTATTGAGTGGTCCAAACAAATGTAAATAAAACTAATAAAAGCGCAGGCGAAGCGCTCCTGGTTGCTTCTTGTTAGCTCTACAGTTTTCTGTAAATTAGCTTTTAAGTCCAATTAATCTTTCTATAGATATTATTTATTTTTTACTGATTTTATAGATTTATATTTTCTACATTTATTGTAGCGCACCGGAACACTCATGTGAAATATAGCTCTATATAAATGTTGTATAATAATAATAGAGCGACAGAAAAATATGGTTTATCGTCCATTCAACACAAACTAAATCATTTCGGGACTAACATAATAATTTTCAATTTCATTTCAATAATTTCCTTGTGCGGAGAGATCTTTAGCAGTGCGAGGAAATCTGAGGACACAGAGAAATATAACATTAAAATAAAAACTAATAATAATCTATTAAGTAAACTTTATTTAATTCTGGCAGGTGGTTTCATTAGGATAAAAGGGCATATCATAATAACACTAGCTACAATTTCATGGAATCATAATTATTGAGTTTAATACTAAGCATCCATAAAATTGTACCTTGTGTTAATATGTTCCATAACTATAAGTGCCTATCAAAGAAGTCATATTATAATACAGTTTTTCTTACCCACATATTCCACCATGTATCGCAAAGCCATAGGCTTTCAACTTGTCATACCCATCTATGTGGATTAAATAGTTTGGACCTTTGTTGACATATATTCTCCTTGACAGTTGGTGTTTCTTGCGAAGGTTCACCCCTTCGGGGTCCATTAACTTTAATAAAGTGTAAACCTTGTCCCTGTAAGTAATACATGCGTATTACTAGAAACAAAATAGATATTTTATCAATCCTTCCACATTCCACTCAGAAATATTTCATTTTTCATAATATAACATGTAATTGTCTGCAATATCACTTTAAATAAAGCTATTTCATACACACACAAGAAACAATGTATGCACCGATGTAAGTAAATGCTATCATAAAGGACTTTTTGTGTGTGTGTGTGTGTAGTGGTGCGGGGAGGGGGCGGGGCACATAGCCCCCCACTCTTTCATAAGCAGCCGTGAATTGTCAGGGACTACCTGAATCACATGCTTACTTAATTGTTTCCTGGTGATACTAACTAGAGCTGGCAATGTGGTCAAGCTTTTAAGTACTATGCTGTCCAGGAAGTTGCGAAACAAGTTATACACTGGAATGTAAAAGTTAAATAGTTTAACATTTAAATTTATTTTCGTTTGAGGACATGTATACCAAGTGTTATTGTTATCAGTTCAAATCTGTAGGGGTGAGGCTGCTTTCAAATGTTTGCGACAAATGTAATCAACTTTCGATGAAATTGCCTAACTCTGCTTGACCTTCATTTTATGATTAAGACACTACTAAGTTCAAGAATGCCAAGTTTCATTAACACGCAGTTGCATTGCAGAACATGATAGAAATACCTAGCAACACGTAGGCCATGTTTTGACAGGAGTCTTTTCGCTAAAGCCCTGTAACCAAGGCACCGTCCACTTCCAGTCAATTCCTCCTGAAATAAAAGAAATTTTTTTTCATTTCCATGCCAAACCATTAAAGTAGTTGGATTTAGAGAGAGAGAGAGAAATGGGGTTTAACGTCCACTCGACACAAACTAGGTCATTTCAGGACTAACATATGGTTTCAATTTAATTTCAATAATTCGCTTGCGCGTAGGGGTCTTTAGCAGTGGGAGGAAACCGGAGTGCCCGGAGGAAACCCACGAGGTTGAGAAGGCGCCCCTATCTCCATGCCACATACGCTCACACCAGGGATCGAAACCACAGCCGCAAGCCAGAGGTGACCGGCCAGCTAGGGGTCGAAGCGCGGCACTCCAGACCTCTAGGCCATCCCAACCCCCCCGTTGGATTTAGAAGCCTATATCTAAAGCATTGGTCATTATCAAGGCATGGTTAACCATTAGGCTAATAAGGCTATAACGCAAGCCCTTTAAAAATATTTAGGCCTACAGATCTGGCTGGGGGTCGACTAAATTTTCTAAAGATACCATTGAAAATATCAGCAAATGTTGAATAGTCTTAGCTATCTGACACAACTAAAATCGCCATGGATATCTCAATCATTGTCTAAAAACTCTGTTGTTAATATTTTCATTGCAAAAGCCATCGAAAAACGCAACGTGCTACATAATAACTGTCTTATGACTATGTATTGTCATTTTGTTCCCAAAATTGGGTACTTCTTCAGTAAGCGACCATAAGTCTAAAGTAGGGGAGAGCGGGGCTCAGTGGGCTATGGGGCACAGTAAGCCAGGCTTTGTAATTTTACACTGTTTTGGCAAAATTCAATTGTGACATCACTGAGGAATTGCCCTTTATAGCCCCCATTTGTCCTCCTAAATTCAATAAATTCATGTAAACTGATTGATATTTATCAGCCATTAACCGTTTTTGTGACGCAAAAGTGAATTTTTAGTGGACTGGTTAAACTGCTTGGCTACTCCAGATTTTGTTAGAGTCCACAAACTTGATATTCCAGGTGAAGTAGACAGTGATTGACTCTCATTAGAAATATTTTGTTTCATAATACTATCACATGTCTTCCTGCCATTTTCGATTTTCTGTCATGGTTGATGACGGGGCACAGTGGGACACACTTCAGAGGGGCACACTGGGCATAAGCATTTCGAGTTTAGCTAAATATCATCTGTCCATTTTAGAAAGAATCTGGGTATTTGAGCTGTTTTTAAAGAAATATTGGACCTAGGATACGAATCGTTACTGACTTACAAGTCATAGGAATTTTTCGCATAAAGGATTTTTTTTTCTTCTGTTAAAGAATTTTTTATTCAATGTTATGTTGGGATTTTTTAATTTTCAGATGCGCATCTGTGTTCAAGTCTTAAAACAAATTCATATTTTGAACTAAAAGATTAGTTTTTACAGTCCTTATGAGTTTCAGTCAATTCAGTGTGTTTTCTATGCATTTTTTTTTAAGAAACATACTTGATGGCCAACTGTGTCCCATAGTGTGACCCAGTGTACCCCACATACGGGGCACATTGGGTCAAAAAAAATTTTGGTTTTACAATGATCTACACAGAAATAGTTTCAATTTATTAACTTTTTAACAGCACTATTAAATCAAACATATGACTGGCTTCAACTGAGTACATAGTTTGATTCTCTGTAGGATTTCAATTCTGGTCAATTTACTAAAAAAAAGAAATCATGCCCACTGTGCTCCGCTCTCCCCTACCCTTAATACGACCCTAGTGATTATATAACAGTAACTACAGACTGTACCGTGGGGTGTGGGATATTGCTGTTGATTCTCGTTATTCCCACTTTCTGTAAACCGGGGTCATTTCTTCACAAGATATGTAAGGTTTCGGATGGAAAAATTTAGCCTATTACGTAGGCTTCACACCTACTCTTATAGCAGCTGTTATAGACTCTTCGTCATTTCCACCTCTTCGCCTATGACCATATTTTTTAAGAATTCTTCTTATTTGCCTTTCACTGAATTAATAATAAACAAACGAAAATAAATGTTTTTAGTCATTTTCTAGAAGAACATATTTCTTTGCTTTTGTGATTCAATATTCATTATAAATTTCCATAAAATCAATGACACACACCATACCACACACACCATACCACACAATCACACCAAGAAAGGCCTACCTTATTGATATAGTGTGTCTTAGAAATAATAATATAGAGACTTCAATATTGGTGTATCCGCCAAAAATTCACGAATGAGCTCATCACCTGTAATAATAATAAGCATAGATAGGAAAATCAAATGTCTGCTCGTGGCTCAAAAACACACGTTTTGACTAAAATGTAAAACATGATTAATATAAAAATGAGATTAAACAATTAAAATACAAGTTTTGCGACTTTATAACCAGTGACAAAAATGTAGGCCTACGTGTTGGATGAACCCCATTCCGACTATACGACCAAGATGCATTGTTTAATAATTACTCTCAAAACTTTCCTTTTTTTCAAATTTTTTTATCCTATAATTAGTTAATTTCGTGTGTAACAAATAGTTATTCAAAAATCTGGACAAACGTAAATTTCATATGCCGAAATTGATCAAATGAAATTTGCATTTTGATAGATATTGTTGAAAGATTTTTTGTTGCGCACGAAAATTAATACTTGCACTTCCGAGGCGAGAACACGAGAAGACGAGATTGTGACGAAGCGAGGGAGCGAGAACACGAGAGGACGAGATTGACCCAAAGGCGAGGGAGCGAGGGAGCGAGAAGTCGAGGTTTTTCAAAGGCGAGAACACGAGGGAGCGAGAAGTCGAGGGCGAGAACGCGAGGGAGCGAGAAGTCGAGGGCGAGGGAGCGAGAAGTCGAGGGCGAGGGAGCGAGAACACGAGGTTTTTCAAAGGCGAGAACACGAGGGAGCGAGAAGTCGAGGGACGAGAAGACGAGAAGTCGAGGTGAAAGTAATCTCGTGTTCTCGAGGCGAGATCCTCGTATTCTCGCCCTTTTTCCTCGCGTTCTCGCTCTCTCGCTCCCTCGCCCTCGACTTCTCGCTCCCTCGCGTTCTCGCGTTCTCGCTCCCTCGCCCTCGACTTCTCGTCTTCTCGTGTTCTCGCCCTCGACTTCTCGCGGCGAGGGGACGAGATTCTGAAATGGCCGCAATAGGCTTCCATAGAAAAGTGCTCTCACGGGCTCGCTCGTGCAGCAAACAGTCGCCCAAAATAGATATTCATGTGACAATATCCATTCACTTATTTATCAATGAGGCCATGTAAAAAATTGTTTTTTACTCGTTGGACTTTTAAAAATAAGTAGTTACGAACTGGATTAAAATTTTGGCTAAAACTCGGCGATTTAATTTCTAAGTTAGTTGATTGTAACCAATGACGTATATTATTATTGTAACGGTTCTCGGTTCAGAGTCAACTCGCGTAGTTTCGCCCTTTTTCTATCTTTTAAATCCACTCTCGTGGCAACATACCGACACTGCAAGACTGTGATAGTTACTTTTATTTAACCGTAAAACTCTGTTGTTAGTGGGCGCTTTAGTTACTTTAGAAGTTACATTGTTGCTAGCTCTAAATACGCAGAAAAAATTTGAGACTGGAAATTAATTGAACGAAATTATTTTCCCTAGTCTCGATTAACCAGACTTGTATGATTAAAATAAAATTACTTCACTGGTCACAAGACTCGGATTCTAATCATTTTAGGGCGTTGCGAATTTGGCCTCCGGTTTTGTGTCAAATTTAATAGGATGATGTGCCATTATGGCCATGCCGTTTTTTGTGTTTAGTATCTTTATGCTTTCGCGAGTAAAAACTGCATTTGCAATTTCTAACATGGTGGTTACAAAACATTTCAATTATTATAAATCCTGCAACAACGCACTTTTCTAGAACTGAAATATAACTAAAAAGACGCGCATTGACTGTTTCATAATTATTAAAAATATGAAAACGCGACACGATGCATAAATTGTGCGTCTTACTTTCAAGAACAATAGCTATAAAACAGAAATTAGCTCATGGTAACTGATAAATACAGACAACCCCCTCTCTCTCTCTCTCTCTCTCTTTCTCTCTCTCACTAAGGACAGCGCGCGCGTACAAATGTTAAATTCAATCGTTAATTGTATGTACGTAAAACAATGAATTCCGACTGCGGAAAGTAAGAATTCGTTTTTCAGAGCAAAAATTGAAACTTTGATGTGACCAAGAAACGCCACTTGGTCGATCAACTTTTCCACATATTAGAAAGTCCCATTCAAATGGTTAAATCACACAAATATCCAAATTAGCAATAGTTTAATTGTTAATGAATGATGATTTTATGGTGAGTCTTATCATTTTTGTTAAAATAAGCCCCAAATATAGCTCGTTTATTGGATTTTTAGTTCTATGCATGAACCACTCTAGCTAAAGCGTCAATGAAAAGTACATTTTTTTGATTTAATAATATTAATAATAGAAATAAGAAGAAATAGAATACATATTGACGCTGAACAAATAAAGATATTGGATTATACATAATCTTAATTTAGAAACTAGAATTGCGATGCAGTAATGACGGGTTTCACCGGTGCCCCGTTACCCTTGAACATATGTCACTTCCGGTACCGATGAAACCATTAAACAGGTTTCCATTTAAGCATTGCACACATCACGTACTATGTACGCAGAATCAACCAAATCCGGCAATATCAATTCATTGTATACATTCATTACATGTAAGTGATCCTGACAACATTACATTACTTCCGGTGATAATGAAATTGTTAAATTAGTTTCATGAAATCAGAAATAGCATAAGGCATCACATGGTGAAAATCTTATGTAAATCGAATAATATTTGCCACTTTTATAGACCAAAATCCTTGAAAAGTAACTTGTAGAAAATCGTCTATTTCTCTGCAACCGTACAAGTTAGAAACCATTTTTTGGTATTTGTATGATCGTGTGGGTTCAATCTATTTGTTGATTGGAATCAAATATCATAATTTTAAAAACAATACAAATCAGACTCATTTGAATAAAATATCTGTTTTGAAGGCTAAAAATACAGTTTTTGCCACAATGACGTTACTTCCGGTAACAGTAAAAGTGTTAAATTACTTGTATGAAATCGTAAATGGCATTAGGTATCAAACACGAAAATTTTATGAAAATCGAATAATAATTGACACTTTTATGGACCAAAAACCTTGAAAAGTTACCTGTTGAAAATCGTCTATTTCTCCGCAACTGAACAAGTTAGAAACCATTTTGTGATATCTATATGATCGTTTGGGGTTCATTCTATTAGTTGGTTGGAATCAAATATAAAAATTTTAAACAAATAACAAATAAGACTCATTTGAATAAATTACTGGTTTTGAAGGTTATAAATACAATTTTTGCCCAAATTACGTCATTTCCGGTGACATTGAAAATGTTAAATTGGTTTGACCTTCTTAAAATTTACATTACGCATCAAATGGTGTCACTTTTATGAAAATCGAATAATAATTGACTCTTATACAGGCAACCTAGCGTAAAAAGTGACTCATACAAAATTGCCCATTTCTCGGCAACTGTTCATATTACAAATTAATTTTCACATACATTCTCTTTGTATGGATTATTGCTACTAGTTTATGAAAGTTGTTAAGAAATATTTTAAAATATGAAAAGCCTGAATGGGTTGTGAATAGCTCATTTTTTCACCTTTTTTCACCTTTAAATCAAAATGATCCGAAAACGAAATAAAAATTAAAAAAACTGAGCGCGATGATTTCTGCGCATTAACAAGACAAACTCTTTCAGTCATACCAGATTTGAAAAAAAATATTTGCTTTCAAAAAGTGGTACCGAACTCTCAAAATTGCAGTTTTTGCTAAAGTTGTTACTTCCGTTGCCGAAAGGAAAATGTACCGGTAACAAAAGAAAAATGACATTTTGGACCGCGGAACATATGAACTTTGTTTTATACAAATCGAACAATAAATAATTAATCCAGGACTGAAAAACTGAATTAGCCAATGGGGGTTAAGGAAAGATACGGTGACAAAAAATGTTGACATTTTTTGTCAAATCAGATGACCCTTTAACCCTTGGTAAAATACCACACAAAAATATTCATTAATAAAAAAGTTTTTCGTAAAAATTTAAATTTTCAAAATTTGGCGCCTAATATCTTCGAAGATTCGTCGAAAATAAAAAAATCCAAAGAACCTTGGCTATGTGCCTTGTCTCTGGCTATGTCAAAATGTATCAAATATTACAATCCGACAATTATTGATAACATTACGGCAAAATATCGAAAAACGACAACTTCGGTGATTTCAGACATTTCGCATTGTCGCAGAACGTTGGAAATAGATTTAAAATTTAAGTCAAACCCACTTTCCCAGTAAAACCAAAGACATCGAATCGATCCAACAAGTAGTTTCTTAGATATGCTCAAATGGAAAAATAATAATAATAATAATAAGAATAGTAATCCGAACAAAAACAATAGTGTTTCACACTGGCTACGCAGTGTGAAACCCTAATTACATGAATAGAGGTTAGAATTTAATATACCGCCATAAGTTAAAGCGGCATTATGAAAGATTAGATAAAAAGCTGGTAGTTCTCGCTATAATAGTTAAAAAGTATATAATGTAAAAGGAATCTGCTGGATATTTCTTCAAATTACTTCATTCTGAGCAGAGAAATCTTTATTTTAAACCCCCTGTAGTCTGGATTGTCATTGTTACCGTTGTTACGATAATAAACAAAGCCTTAGCCGTCGAATCTGTTGACAATAGGACCCATCAGTTGGCATCGAGAGTTGATTATGGTCTTGTCATGTTAATAAATGTCTAATTTATAGTGTATATAACATTTAAAGGAGCTAAATCTCTAACACTACATTGTCCATATTATTCGAAATTAAAAATACGAATCGGAATTCAATATTGATGCTGTTATCCTGTTATGAAATTATGGGATCCTACTATCTAATATTTATGACACAAAGGACGTTTTAATATCAGTACTAGAGTTGTGTAATCTATTGTTTCGGGCGCCATTTGTAATGAACAAAGACACACATATCCAACCAGACAATACGACAAAATAATAATAATGAAAAAAAATACCGTGTAGAATGGAGTAAGAAGACGTAAAAGAGTATTTCTCCAAACATAACTGATTAGAAATTACAATATTTTTTTTATTTTTTTAAATGAATCTAAATCACTTTATATACATTAATTTTACATGTGTGCGTTTAGACACCCATTTTCGTATATTTTAAGGCCCAAAAGAATGCAACCATACGCCGTTTAAGGCCTAAAGAAAGACCTGCAATAGGCAGATTTAGCTATTGGATAATGCATGTCTAATAGATAAAATCGCTAATACATTGAAACGAAATGCAATTGAACACATTCAGTATACAGGGCGGGGAAATTGAATTCCTTTATCAACATGTTTAGACGAGACACATTAAATTAATGGGATGTGTATGTTTTTAAGTTTAAAAAATAAAGCTATAATGGGTGAAGTATTACGTGACAAAAAGCCACGAGGGAAACCCGGTAGTATTAACAAAGTACTGCAGAAAGATACGAATGAGTTAAGGATATGCCGAATTCATTTACGAATACACACGCTCTCCACGAATGATGCCGATAAAGCTACGAAAAGTTTACGAATCGAATAGGAAGCTGTTATGGACGATACATCTAAGAATTTCAAAATTTGTAAACCGTCGACGACGAAATTTTTTGTTTTTCAAAAACGTTCGTGGTCGAACTGCTTTAAACAACACGAATGTGTAAGAACAAAATAAGAATCTATTAAGAACTTCAAGAACCGTCTACGATTGATCTGCGAACCGGACAAAGATTGGATTCGGGACGATCCGTAGCCCACATAAAAAGAGTCACGAAAGATTTTGTTTCAAAAATCACTTGCGAACTTCAAGAACTGTCTACGATTTATCTACGAATTGGTAATTAGGAGGTTTCGTGACAGTATTGGCCCACGTGAAAACCGGGTGTTACTCGGCGTGCTCATTTAGGATATACGACATTCATCTTTCAAATAACCTTTTGTATGACATGTGTGAATCCCCATTTTCCTACGTATTATTCAAGTGCAGTCACCCACTTAAGACGGAGAGTATTATATTTTATAAATCTTCCTTAGTATTATTCAACTGGAATAGATCAAAGTTTGCGGATATATTTACTGTCTGTTATATAGCAGAGATAATTCAACAAATCAGCTGATTAGGTATAGCCAAATGATAGAGGGGTATAGATTTAAAGATTAAATTAAAACATAACCTGTATAGACGAATAAATACTTGGCTAATGATAGCAAATTGTAGATTTAAAAAAAAAAAACAAATTAAAAAGAAAATTAAATAATTTGAAAATATTTGTTTGTCAGTAGCCTGTAATAAACCCACACTACTTGAATGAACTGGCTCGCTAACCTGAAGGCCCCGTGTTCGATGCCTGCGTTGGCGGAGAAAATTCATCGATTTTCCGGTGTTGTTCCTCCATGTCAGTGCATGGTGTAGGAAGGTAAGGGACAATATATAATCGTTCGGATGGACCGATAAACTGAGGTCCCGTGTACACATTTGACAGTTGGAATTCGAAATAGCGCCGCTGCCCGGGAAAAATTTCCCCATAGCACAATGTATGGCGTATGCCCGTCTTCATTAGCCCAGTAGGAGCAGAACAGTAGGATGTTAAACCACATTTCATTTTAAATCAACTGAATGAGGAACATGTTTAAGCGACGATACGTCTATTCAAGACAGAATAATTTCTTTTCATTCATCAGTCTATTCATACTAATTGTTCAGTATATATTATCTTATAAATTCTAACAGTTTTGGGGTGTTGGGTGGCCGAATGGTTAGCACGTGCGCACTGTATCATAAGGTCTGCCATCGAGTCAACTGGCGTGGTTTAGATTCCCCGGTTGTACATGGCAATGCGTAGGATCGCCTGTCCAACCTCGAGGGTTATCTCCGGGTCCCCCGATTTCCTCGCAAGCGAATTATTGAAATAAAATTGAACCATGTGCTAGTCCCAAAATGACCTAGTTTGTGTCGAGTTGACGTTAAACAATAATAATATTGTTACTTTAACATTATTTCATCTGTTAATTCTATATGTGTAATTTATATCCTGTTTGATATACCTGTGTAACTCAAACTATAACAAAACAGTTTGTATACACGAAAAGTTCACAATAACATACCTGTATATTTAAAGTCATGAGACCACTTGTGTTTGCAAATAGAATAGTTATTGTGTTAACAGATTATAACTTCGAGTCAGTATTATTAATATTTTGCTATGTCATATACAGATTGAATTTGTTTCAGAAGCAAGACTATGGAGACCATATTATTTGCTGTGTTTCTTCTGCTACCATCGACTACAGGTTTGTTAATATTAGTTTTGTGTCAAAGCTAATATTTATTTCATTTACAAATAACGTGCATTTGTCATATACACACAGAGAAAGTTCGATAATTATTATTTAATTCAATCTCTTTTAACAGGATTAACAAGTCGTGGTTGTAGTGGACCGAGTGACGAAGAGGAATATGAGCACGAACTGTCTTGTGACGATGAACTAAAGATAAATATTGTTTCGGCCCACTATGGCTTCAAATATTCGTACAAAAGGTGCAGTGGCGATTGCGGGTATAAATCTTATTCTTGTGATTGTCTTCTTGATTTTAACGCCACGGTCGAATCGAACCTTATGAATTCTTGTAATGGGCTTCAAACGTGTAACTTTCAAACACCCATACCACACGTTAAAAGTTGCCTTGGTGAAACTACGGCCTATAAAGCCTATGGTCGAGATCTTTATACATATTCCTATATCTATTATGTGTGTTTGCCAGGTAAGTTTTAACATTTTTATGTATAATAGAATAATGAAAACATTACTTTTGTTTTACGTTGCTATCAAAACATAAATAAATAATGTCTTATTCAGTACACCAAAGTGATACACTTATTAAAAACATTTACCGACACAAGCAAATGAACTACACGAAGGACGTAGCAACGAGGAGTACAATATTAGAACGGTGTGTCTATCGCAAAAAGACACACACATACACACACACCATGTCGCCGCATGGAGACGATCATGTATGTAGGATCCTTCTCCGCCTCATGGCAATGCTGCTTCGTGTGGCTCTGGTGCTAGTGCCCATCTGAAATAAGGCAATGTCAACCTTGACATATCGTTTCTTCATCCACAAACCTGTACTAACGTATCTTTGTAAAGCCAAATCCCACACGAATTGGTCACTGGTAACTTTTTGATCGTTTTTCTGGTAAGAAATGGAATGCAATGTGGTTTAAAGGACAATATTGGTGTCAGTCATAATTACATATGTGATAGAACTGGTTAAATACATCCCAAATATAATTTTAACACAGAAATCATTGCTATGGGAGATGTGTAACAAGCACGTGAAGAAACGGGAAGTGACGCCAACTATGACAAACACGAGTTATCCTACTATATAACTGATTTTAGCAACGAGCGATAACAGACACGCGATCGAATTTCATTTCACTGATAATTCAGTTAAAGATGAAAAACTATTTTATGAGACGGTGAGAGGATATCTGACAATTCAAAAATAGAATTGGCTGTCACTTGATAAGGGAACACGAGAAAAATAGAAAAATCACGTGCATTCCCCCGTTTTTATTCATTCTGTTCTTAATAAAAACATGGTAATGCACGGACTTTTTCTAATTTGTTCGTTATCTTTTATCTAATGACAGCCAATTCTTTTTTTTGAATTGTCAGATATCCTCTCACCGTCTCATAAAATAGTTTTTCATCTTCAACTGAATTATCAGTGAAATGAAATTCGATCGCGTGTCTGTTATCGCTCGTTGCTAAAATCAGTTATATAGTAGGATAACTCGTGTTTGTCATGTTTGTCGTCACTTCCCGTTTCTTCACGTGCTTGTTACACATCTCCCATAGCAATGATCTCTGCGTTACAAGTTATATTTGGGATGTATTTAACCAGTTCTATCACATATTTTATAATGACTGACACCAATATTGTCCTTTAACTTCCTACTGTTCTGTTTCGACTGGTCTAATGAAGACAGACATACGCCATACAGTGTACTATCAGGCAAATTTTGACCGGGCAGCGGCACTACGGCCAACTCTTATGTCGAATTCACGTGCACGCCACTGTTTACACGGGGCCTCGGTTCTCGTCCCATCCGAACGACTAGACAGCTGACAAGGGGAAACCACGTCGGAAAATACCAATGAACTTTCCCGGTCAATGCAGGGATCGAACACGCATCCTCCACTTAGCCACAGTGGCTCCCTCATTATGCTGGTAAGGAATGTTGCAATAACAATCCACAGGTGAATAGTGTCAAATGTTAATAACAGCCCAGAGGATAAACTTTCTTTGTTGGGAATGTTGATTTCCCTAGGAAATAGTCTCAGAAGAGATATAGATCTGTGTGCGTAACATGCATTTTAACATAAATTAACGGTTATAATTATATCCTTGATACTTCTTATTACATCATTCACTGAAAACCGGGAGACCATCATATTTGTTTTAAATTTTCCCGACAGCTAATACATTACTGTTTAAATCTTTCTTTTATAGGAATCGGGAGTTATGCTTGTGGTGAACCGAGTTCGGGGCACATTCTGTCTTGTGATGCTGATAAAAGGATTCATATAATGTCGGCGCACTATGGCTTCAAATATTCACCTGATCCGTGCAGCAGCTATTGTGGAAAGTACTATAATGATTTTTGTGATTGTCTTCTTGACTTTAATGTCACAGTCGCATCGAATCTTACGGATCATTGTAATGGGATGCAGAGATGTACCTTTCAAACTCCCAAACCAGATATTCAAAGTTGTCATAGAATAATTACTTACTGGGTTGGAACATACAATGAATCGTTTGATCGTTATACATATTCCTACATACTATATGAATGTTTGACAGGTAATGTTTAACATTATACACTATATATCATCTAGTCAATATATATACTTATTAAGAGTATGGTTAAATATTATATAACGTGGAATAACTTAATATTTACTTAGAATAACAATACTCTGTATCAAATTGATTTTCAGCCACAACTACATTACCCACCAAAAGCACAATCAATACAAGACAAGAAGTCACAAGTATTGTAACACGCCAGATATATACGGATAAAAGTACAATCCAGTCCACTGAACTAGACAATTCCAAACTTGCAAAACCCACAGAATCATATACGCCTGAAGATAGATCTGGAAGAACAGAAGAAATCTTAAATACTATGTCCATGGTTTTACATAAAGATACACCAGGTAATCTATGTCGAAAAACGAGAAATATCTGTATACTTTCTTTTAATTAAATACTAATAATAACAATGGTAACGCCTCCAAGCGCGGCATATGTTATGATGAAGGAAACCCATATCTTATTTTACATTAAAAAATATACATATTGATATTCATCGCGGAGTCTGTATAAAATGGCATGTTATATTTATTTGTCAGATTATATATGCTGATTTCCAATTCAACATATCAGTCTCAAATATGGACATGTTCTATTTATTAATACTGATTTCCATATACCGACATATTATACATTATAGATATTGATACTGATTATATTGATATATTTATTACAGTAGATACGGCTGCTATTGCTGGAAGCGTCGTGGGATGTATTCTTCTGATCATATTAGTTATCATTGTTGTAGTCGTCATACTAAAACGGTAAGGATAGCAGAGATTGAAAATAAATTGCTGTGTGTGTAATTCAAGTAATGTTATACTAGTTATCAAATCGTCGACTGCAATTTCCATGTACAATAAGCCCACGAATTATTATGGGCAAGTCACTTAAAAGTGTTAAACACAAAATTAAATCCTCATCACAACCTCGTCTCCTTGGATTTTGGTGTTAAAGGTCACATGATTTTGTTAATTACATGTTGAATTTATATTCACTTCCCATCCACACAATAAATCTTGCAATCGTGTAGCTTATCAAGAATTAAACTTACTACTTACTATAATTGTATATTCCACGCCTGCCTTACCTAATGTAAAGCTAATTTATCTAGTAGATAACGTTGTCAGTTGGTGTAGTATTTATCTGAAATGTATTTTGGGATGCCGGATGAGTAGTACCGCTAGCTTCTGGAATCCAACTCTGCCGTTACGCAGTGGCCTATGTCTTAACCGTATGGTTAATTAGTTCAAACACCTCACATTTCTTTTAAGGAAGTCACATTTCAGATAAATATAGATTGTCGAAGTTTAGGTTTAATTGACAATAGAAACGGTGATGTGTAATTTGTATATATTAGGTCCAGTAATGGATACAAATTCTATAAATACACGTGCTCTATATATACATGATTTGTAAGAACGTTTAATATGTCGGGTGGGAAATGAAACAAATAAAATATCTAAAATAAAGATCATCTAATTTTAGCTTTAGAGGACAAATCGAATTGGTGCAAGTAGAACAGTTAAAATGTCTTTAAGAATGGAAGCATATACTTCCATCAACATATGCATTATACTTGCAATCAGTTCGTCTTATGAATATTCAGTTTCGATCTATCTTTTAGTATAATAACTAAAGAATTATTCTTCATGCACCAATTCAAAATCCGTCCACCTCTTTATTTACTAAACTCGGTTGGCTTACCCTCACACAGAGGATTCTTTATAATAAAATTGTCTTATCATTTAAAATTATTACATTTAATACTCCACTTTATCTAAATTCCTATTTTATTGCTCCGTTCACAGACCAGTAAATCTCTTTTTCTTCAAAATGCAAAACGGAATCCATGAAACGTACTTTTCATTATTCTTCATGTCTTTTATGGAACAATCTGCCTTTTGATATAAAGATGTGTAAAAATGTTGAAAATTTTAAGATTAAACTGAAAACTCATTTATATTGAGCACTGAAGAAACCATAATATTCAACTGATGACATACTTATTATTTTAACTTGCAGCTGCATTCTATCTTATTTTGGTGTAATTATAGTGTTCTTCCTATATTCTACTTGTATAATGTATATGTTTTGTAGTTTAGGAGTGACTTCCCAAACTTTCAACTTTAAAATGCTATTGCATTTCAAATGATTTTACATGTATATATCATTATGTCTTTGTAGTTTAGGAGGGACTTATGGAAGATTAGTTTTTTTCAAACTAAATACGTTGCCTCATTAAATAAAGTTTTTATTATTATTATTATTATTATTATTATTGAACAGTCTCTTCACAAATTCACTTTATGTCTTTGTAGAAAAACAATGCGGACTTTTATTGACAGTCGCTTCAAAGGCAGCCCAAGAGTCTCCAATCCAGTATACGAAGCACCAAGCGATGGATACAATAATGTTATTTTCAAGAACGATAATTCTCCATCTGTAAACGTGATTAAATTAGCGGACGATTACAATCATTTACACGATGCCAAGAACAATAACTCAATGACAACTGGTAACACGTGCAACTATCTGGGGCAAATGGGTGGTGATTATAACCATCTACATGATAATAACAACAGACTACCTGTCGATGATCAGTCAGGTGGAGCCTATAATCATCTTGGTATGGTAAATACTAAGACACAGAATTCAGAAGAACTTCACAATGCCAACTATAACCATATTTCTGGGTCGAAGGTTGACAAACCTGACGTTGACTATAACCATCTTCATGGTGACAAGAATGATATTCCAAAAACTGATTATAACCACTTGTACGAAAACAGGAAGACAGAAATTCCAAATGACTACAACCATATTGGGGGCATAACCAACGGGAAGACTGGTGATGTCCAGGGAGAGCATACACAGGAAGATGTTCAATACGAGATAGCCGACGATGAAAGGGGAGATTACTCCAATATTTCTGAACGGCAATCTAACTATGAAAATTTTCCCATTTCGGGTCATCAAACTTGTGGGTAGTTTCAGAACTGATGTTCGTACAATTACAAACAAACACGATAGTAGTATTATTCTGTATAGGGTAGTAAACTATTTTAACAAATTATATTTATAGTTTGTTCCTTGTACGTCATGTGTGTATGCCTACAAGTGAAAGCTCCGGCTGTAATGCGAACCACAACAGATGGTAAATGAAATTAGAATTTAAGACACTTTATTATTTTAATATAGTCTCTTGTTTATGCAGATAATTGAAGACATGGATTTGTGTTTAAGTTACAATTTGTTTATTTTATATGTTCATTTCATTTTTCGAAAATGCTTTATTTTGCAGATACATGATGACATAGATTTGTATTTTAGTATGTTTAAAGATACATTAGTTAAGAGTTTTATAAAGAGTTGGTCATTCTTGCTATAATAATTCAAAAATAGATGATAAAAAAAGAAAATGTTGAAAATTTAAGTCAGATTACTTCGTTCTGAACGGAAAGGACACTGTTGGAAATTTGGACTAGAAATAGGTATCAATTGTGTCTGCACCGTCTATGAGAATTGGCGATCGTTTGATTGACAGACGATAACTCCACCCATATATTCTCGATTATCAAGTAACATGCTTAATGTCTATGGTAGCCTCACTTGGCAGGCCTTTCATCACAAGTTTACGGTAGTGACATCAGCGACTAACGGTAAACGTTAGCTTGGTCCGCCATTTATTGATTTAATTTTAAATGGACGACTGTTTAAATCCAAACTGTATCCAAGTCATCCGTGGGTAACCAGAGTTGATTTTGAGCTTGTCGTGTAAATAAAGGTCTAATTAATAATTTCTATAACATCTGATGCCTAAATAAAGACTTGCAATAGGCAGATTTAGCTCTTGCATAATGTATGTGTAAGTTACAATTTGTTTATTTTATATGTTCATTTCATTTTTATAATTGATAACATGCTTTATTTTGTATTTTAATGTATTGAAATTATAGTTTGTTGATTTCATATTTTTTATGTCGATATAACGTAATCGAAATCGGGAGTGATAGTGACAAGCAACCCGACGCATCCTGCTTCCCTTACACGCCTAATGTCTGCTCCGGGAAGTCCTAGTGTAGCCGGAAATCATATATCGCCCACACATGGGCGTCACACATGGGGCGGGGCTGGGGGCCGACCCCCCCCCCCCCCAATTGTTTTTCGGGGGGGGGGGGGTCTGAATATACTTGGACCCCCCAAAAAATTTACATAGTAGGCCCAAACTCCTATTTATTTACAACAATTATTAGGATTAGTTAAGATTCTATCTGTATAAAACCTGTACATATCCCAATATGGTTTACATTGCTAAAATAAAACACAGAGAGAATCATCCGGAAACATGTGTGAAGTGAAAAGTAACTGTGTTCCATAAAATTGTGTCTAGTTAGCCTGTCAGTATTTTGTTAATTTTTTTTCTGCCACTTATCAGAGTTAATCGCATGTAGGTCCCCAAAAAACGTTATCGCCTAAACCAAATATTTATCGCCCGCTCAGCCAGCAACGTAACCATATTTCTTTGCACGCGGTGTCTTGGTAGACAGCATGGCCACATGGTGTTTGTTTATATTTTTAGGGTTTTAAAAAATGGGTTAGGGTTAGGGATGCGGACCCCCCCCCCAATATATATTTCACGGCTACGCCCACATAGTTTATTAGGAGGAATTAACAAATAACTTTCAATCTTTGCCCGCTCGCCTTACATGCGGCGTGCCTCAAAGATCGATGCTCGCTCTAATATTGTTTCCACTCTACTGCCGTAATTTAGCTGGTATTGTCGCTAAACATGATCTTTATCACCATATTATTATTTATCATATATTGTCCACATAGTTTATTACAGTTATAGTTTGTTAATTTTTATATGGCGATAGTTAAGCAAAAAAATAAAATGCCTTTTAATGTTAATATTTTGATGCAGTGAGAATTGAAAGTAAAGTATAAAATGCTGTTTTACATTGGCGTGTACATATAGTTATTGTTTGTTCATTTTAATACACCTATATTTCCATGTGGTCGCAATATGTTGTCGCCCCTGTCCTTCTGGACGTCCGTTCACATTTGTTTGTGGACATTCTACCTGTCACACTTAAATCAACTGAATGAGGAACATTAATACCAACAACATTTATATTAAAGCGACGATACGTCTATTCAAGCCAGAATAAAATGTTTTCATTAATTGTATATAAGTTTAGATATTCTAATAGTTAAAGCTATGCTATCTTGTAATATTCTTGAACAATGTCTATTGTGTATCACCTACTATAAATAAACGTTATATTGGTAGTAACCAATTAAAAAAATAATGTTTTCACACGTTATTTTTGATAAATGTGGAGGTTTGTAAGATGACCATAATACAGTTTGTATAAATTAATAATAATATTGTTACCTTAACAGTTCATTGTGATTTTCTGACGTGGTTTCACCTTGTCAGTGGTGCAGTACGGAGGATCTGACAAGGACAGTTGTCCAGTCATTCGAATGAGACGAAAAAACGAGTTCCCGTGTATACATTGACGTGCACGTAAAAGATCCCTTTGCGGTTGGAATTCGATATAAGAGTGGGCCATAGTGCCACTGCCCGGGCCAAATTTCCCTCATAGCACACTGTATGGCGTATGCCCGTCTTCTTTAGCCCAGTCGGAGCAGAACAGTAGGACGTTAAACCTCATTTAATTTCATTTCGTTACTTTAACATTAGGTCATCTGTCCGTCCTATATGTGCAATTTACATCCTGGAGACCTGTGTAACTCAAACTTTAAATAGACAGGTTGTCATACATCAGTGCACAATAACATAGACGTTTAACCGCATATATCATGTGTTATCATGTATTATTAATAGTTTGCTACGTAATATACACATTGTACATGTTGAAGTATCAAGAATTATGAAAACCATATTTGCTTTGTTTCTTATCATACCTATGAGTACAGGTTAGTTCAAATTGATATAATATTTATATTGGTTAGAGTAAAGTTATTTAACAAAGATAAGAGAATAGGGGAACTATTAAATTCTGATACTTTATTTTCCAATGATCGACAATATCAATTGCGCATTTGTATTTGTATGGGTACTCTTTAAGAGTTGATATACATACAAATAGTTTATGTTTGTACTGTGAGGAGTAATTCATAACTGAAATTCGCCGGTGAATAGACTATTATTTTTGTGTTCTTTATCTGCCAGGTCATGAATAACTAACTATTTAAACCTTACTTTAACAGGATTGAAGAGTTATGCTTGTAATGGGTCAAAAAATGGATATTGTACGGAGCACAAAATATTGTGTGATGATAAAGACAAACGGATTCATAATATTTCCGGTTACTATGGCTTCACATATTATTATGTTCCTGATCATTCTTGCTGTTTAATAGATGATTATGACCCAGATGACTGTCTTCCTGGATTTAATGCCACAATCCATTCGAATCTTATAGATTCATGTAATGGGGAGAAGACATGTAACTTTCAAACACCAATTCCAGATTTTAAATATTGCTCTATAGAAAACGATGATGATGGCAGAAGAAATAACTTCGGTTCTAATATATCCTCTTGCCATACTTATGATTTTTATACATATTCCTACATACAGTATGAATGCTTGCCAGGTAATCAATGATATTGTTATATCATATAAATCAATAATTTTACGCTGATAACAAAACACAAATAAATAATACATCAGTGTCTCGTAATCGGGTCAGTCACACCCGTAGTCAGTCTTGGGCGGAAGGTAGTTTGATGGACAGCACACCCGTTAAGCTAATAGTGAGCTATATCGTGATACTTGTTTGAGTTATATATAACTTTTTTGGGCATTGTGAGTTATTTTTTGCAAATAAAAATGAAATGAAATAGGGTTTAACGTCCTACTTGATCAGTTTTTATGACGACTATCACAACCTTAATCTGTATTCAAATGATTTTCAGTCACAACTGCCTTGTCGACCAGAAGCACAATCCCTACAAGAGAACACCGGGCGTATACTGTTAGAAGTACAATAAAGTCGACTGATCTAGACAGTTCCAAACCTGAAAAATCCACAGAAACCGACGGGCCTGAACATGTATCTGGAAGAACAGAATATATAATCTTAAATATTATAGCCATGGCCCTGGTTTTAAATAAAGTTACAGCAGGTGACTATTACATTTTTATAATATCTATGTCGAAAAACGAGTAATATCTCTATAAAATAGTTTCTTTTTATTAAATAATAATGTGCGGCACACACGTTACTTCTATGGGGAATCTCATTAGCACGAGTGAAATAAAAACTGAAATAAAATTTATCAACAAGGCCATAATGAAGGAAACACATATCTTAGTTTACAATAAACAATATACATATTGATACTCATCGCGGGCATGTTCTATTTATTGTCAGACTATGTTAGTTATACTGATTTCCCATTCAAAAATATTAGTCTCAAATATGGAATCTATGGAAAAGGTGATCACCCTGTAAACCCAGCTGAAATATATATCATTCTTGCACAAGATAGTTTTGGGGTTACTTTGTGATTTATAAACCAACTTAACAATAAAATGTTGTAATATTGATTATACAGACATATTTATTACAGATACGACTGATATTGCTGATTATATTAATATATGTATTATAGATATTGATATATTGATTATAGATATTGATATATTATTATTATAGATATTATATATTTATATATTTATTATAGATACCCCAACTAGAACTGATTATATTGATATATTTATTATAGATACCCCACTCATTACCGATTATATATTGATTATAGATACGGCTGATATTGCTGATTATATTGATATTTATATTGATTTTAGCCAAGTCGAAGCAGAACAGTTGGGTATTAAACCCATTTCATTTCATTTCAGATATATGTATTATAGATACCCCAGTTATTACTCATTATATTAATATATATATATATTGTTGATAGCCCTGGTAATGCTGATTATATTGACATAATATGTATTATTGATAGCCCTGTTATTGCTGATGATATTGATATATTTATTATAGATACGGCTGTTATTGTTGGAAGCGTTGTTGGATGTTTTCTTCTGGTCATATTAGTTTTTGTAGTCATTATATTAAAACGGTAAGGTCGATATCATTATAAATAGACATATATTTAAAACCAACTTGTATCCAATATCACTGTAATTCAGACGTTCGGCTCCAATTAGCACGCCTACTTAACGTTGATTGTTAAATATCGCGTGGTTTACTTTGCAGTAAATTTTGTTACGGTTTTGTCAACTGTTATTTGACACCTTGGACACGTTTGTTGCAGACTTAATTGATTTTTTTGTAAGAGGAAATTTCTACTTTGCACTACATGCGTAACCATAGTAATCATAATTACATTTTGTTTTTCTCAAAAAGACCAAAATATCAAGTTGAATAGAAACTAAACTCAATGGTATATGAACTTGACTGACCATTTTTTGCAACATTTCCCTAGTTGACCGTATGATCTCGCTGACCCCATTTTTAGATTTCTGTCCATCCCCATGAATACTGTAATAATATACTATTATATCATTATTTATCAATACAGGCCTACGTTACCGCGGATAACATTTATATTTCTAAACAAAACAGTTGATTAAAATAGTGTCAGTGATTTTCCTAACACGGCGAATGGAGAACGCTAAAAATAAAAAAAAAAGATAGGGATAATGCGATATGATGATCGGAATTCCTTTATTTCCACGTACTTGCTATAAAAATTAGAACTACCGGATATTCACAGCGAAACGAAGATATTTTAAAGTCAATTTGACGAGAATAAACAATAACAGAATCCATATAAACTTTTAGGCGAGTAAATAACGTTATCTTAAGAAGTGTTACTGCTTTATGTTGATATAGATAAATATATATTTCAGAAAGAAGGACACATGTTATAAAGACGGTGGTATCTCCAGCACAGTGTACGAAACACGTAACTTGGTTCAATAAGGACGCTTCGCTCTACACTGATTTAACAGTGAGTAACCACAGTGAAATCGGAGACCAGCCTGATTATGAAAATTCTCCCGTTTAAGTTAGCAAGATCATAATGACTTTGTTCAAAAAGAATGCAACCGTTGGAAGTACATTGCCCCTGTCCATGCAATACAATATGTATTAAATGGATTATGATGGGTTTGCGATGACTGACAATAATAAACTTCAAACGGAAAGGAATTAAACGGGATTTAACGTCCTGTCCCAACTGGGCTAATGAAGACGATCATACTTCTGGATCATACATTGTGCTATAAGGGAGATTTGATGGCACACCAGCGCTGATTTATAGCTGTATTTCGACAAATATATGATGAATAGTACGAGAAAAACTATATGTAATCATTGAATGTATTTATGTACATAAATAAAAACCAAATATCACTGAATATTAAATAATTGAAAAAAAAAACCACTGACTAACTAAAGCATATGTGCGCCACATTTATAAATAAAAAACTCAACCTGTAATTGTTTCCTTATCACGTTGTTCACCGACTTGACGTTGTTTATCATCTATACTTCCTTGACGGTAGGTATAATATATGCTTTCTTCCATGTTGTTGTCACCAGGGCACAAATCTGATAACTCTCAAGCATTATCTTTAATGTTGAGGGGCAAAAGGTGCAACCCTAGTTGTTGGGGACCATGGTATGATCCTGGTTGTTGGGGACTGTGCGCTACATTGAGTCAACTGACGTGGTTTCGATTCCCCGCGTGTACGTGACAAGAAGTAGGGTGGCCTGCCCGACCTCGTGGGTTTTCTCCAGGTCCTTCCACTGCTAAGACCCATACGCGCAAGAGAATTATTGAAATAAAATTGAACCATATGTAAGTCCCGAAATGACCTAGTTTGTGTCGAGTGGACGTTAAAGCACATTTCTCTCTTTCCTGGTTGTTGGTGGTTAGCACGTATCATAAAGTCTGTCATTGAGTCAAGTGGCGTGGTTTCGATCCCCGGTTGAACGTGACAAGGAGTTGGGTCGCCTGTTCAGCCCCGTGGGTTTTCCTCCGGGTCCTCCGGTTTCCACCCACTGCTAAAGACCCCTACGCGCTAGCGAATTATGGAAATAAAATTGAACCATATGTTAATCCCGAAATGGCCCAGTATGTGTCGAGTGGACGCTGAACCCCATTCTCTCTCCCTCTCTCTCTCTCTCTCTCTCTCTCTCTCACAACCTTGGTTGTTGGGCCAAATTATTGGGGCTACAAGAAGATTTTGTTTGTTACGAGTTTATTGTATAATCCTTACTGTTGGAGACTATAAATTATTATTAAAGTGTAATTGTGCTTAAATGTACCATATAGCCAATCAATATCCCTCATCCTTCATGTTTTCGTTATCTTAAGGCACACTGAAAAATGATAGCACCAAATAAATATTTAGTAGTCTCATTAAAATACATTATTGTAGCTCCGTAGATTCAACATACAAATATGAAATCGTTTCTGAAATGGCGGTTATAACAAAATTTTCCAATGGAAAAATATTGACCACATTATGAAATATAGACGGAACTACTCTTAAATAATAATAGCAATGATATTTGTATTGCTCACATGCACTATTCAATCCACCATTGGATAGATGGCTTCTTCATATACCTTCATCAGCAGCCAATCACGAAAGTGTGCTTGGTAGATTGTAAAATTTACACATTATAGTCGTAAACATATATAAAATCAATCATGTCAATGACTCTGGAATGCAAGCCAAAAAATAATTAGAAAGAAATGTGTTGCAAAGCTCATGCGCTTCGAATGAATGAAATGTCCTACTTTTATGTGCCTACAGGGCTGATGAAGATGCCCAAACGGCGAAGAGTTTGCTATTAGGGAAATTTTGCCCATAGTGTACACAGGACCTTAGTTTGTGTCCCATCAGAATGCCTAGGGGCTGTTCTTGCCAGGCTCATGTCGCTTGCGACTAAGGACAACATGCCTAAGGACAACCAGTTGTCTCCAGTCGTAGGGGTAGAACATGAGCGACTCCGAGAAACTGGTCGTAAAAGCTCTCAGGTCGCCCAGACAGTCACGACTGATCAGTTCGTCTGATTATAAAACAGTCGCCGATTTCGAATCGACGTCAGTTTTGTCGCGTCGTAGGGCGACGTAAGCTAGGCTTCACACTGTTTGAGTACAGGAAACCGCTATTTTCATGAAATTCAAACTAAACTTTCATTATGGTGTAATGGTGGTATACATGAACGTGTTTTAAAATCAAATAAAAAACGACATGGCCCCTAAATGGCCCGTAAGCTAAAAACACGATTTTTCGTACAGTCAGGGGCCATGTTACATGAATTCGGTCCGATACATGCCAAGATCCTTGGAATATAAACCTATATTCCAAGTTTCGTCAAAATCACGTTTTTAGCTTATGGGCCATCTATCCGATTTAGGTGAGACTTGAAATGTATGTTTGTAACCAAAATGTCTCGATTCCTTTCGATATTCGCGCACATCGGACCGTAACCACTTGGAATATGACTCCTGGTTTTACAAATGTGGTCCATCAAGAGGTGACGATTTTTATCCGATTTAAAATAAAACGTTTGAATGTATCACCGTTGCACCATAATGATGGATGAGATTGAATTCCGTGAAAATCGGACGGAAACTGCCCAACAAAATGACCTCTCCCTATACCCAAATAGTCTTAAAGTATGTAATATCAAGGTTGTGGACCCTCTAGAGGTCACAATATTTATCCGATTTTGATATTTTTATATCCCAAGGATCTAGCTTACTTTCGATATTCGCGCACACCAGACCGTAAATTCCTGGATTACGGTCCCTGGTTGTGCGAAAATTGCGTTTCTAGCTTTTGGACAACCAAGAGGTCACAATTTTCATCAGATTTTAAAAACGTTTAAATATATCACCGTTCCACTATAAAGATGATTGAGGTCGGATTTCGTGAAAATCGGAACCGACCTGTCCGACAAACTGGCGGTTCCTGGTACCCTCTAGGGGTCACATTTTTCATCTGATGTTTATATCCCAAGGCTCGCGGTTCCTGTCGATATTCGCAAAAAATCAAACCGTAACTTCCTGGATAATGGCCCCAGGTTTTACGAAAGATCGCTTTATTTTTTTAGCTTGTGCTTTGTCCATCTCTTGCAAAATTTGAGCGTATTTTGCACAGCAACCACTTGTTTCAATTAATTGCCATATATGAGTGTTTTATTATATGAATTATAAATATTGACATATATATTCCAGAAATAAGGAAATTAATCACCGTATCACATAGAATCCAATCGTTTACTTATGCTTGAAAGATTTTGATTGAATTAATGAGTGAGTGTTTGACATATATTAAGAATATACAAGTTGACGTGTATGTAACAGAGACTGAAACATACTATACCACGCAAAATCTCATTAGAAATGTAGATAGTGTGGTAAATATGGCTATTCATAAAATTAACGCGAAATTTAGACCCATACGAATCTTACGGATCATTGTAATGGGATGCAGAAATGTACCTTTCAAACTCCCAAACCATATATTCAAAGTTGCCATAGAATAATTACTGGAACATACAATCATAATGCATCGTTTGATCGTTATACATATTCCTACATAATATATGAATGTTTGACAGGTAATGTTTAACATTATACACTATATATCATCTAGTCAATATATATACTTATTAAAAGTAAGGTTAAATATTATATAACGTGGAATAACGTAATATTTACTTAGAATAACATTACTCTGTATCAAATTGATTTTCAGCCACAACTACATTACCCACCAAAAGCACAATCAATACAACAGAAGAAATCGCAAGTATTGTAACACGCCAGATATATACGGATAAAAGTACAATCCAGTCCACTGAACTAGACAATTCCAAACTTGCAAAACCCACAGAATCATATACGCCTGAAGATAGATCTGGAAGAACAGAAGAAATCTTAAATACTATGTCCATGGTTTTACATAAAGATACACCAGGTAATCTATGTCGAAAAACGAGAAATATCTGTATACTTTCTTTTAATTAAATACTAATAATAACAATGGTAACGCCTCCAAGCGCGGCATATGTTATGATGAAGGAAACCCATATCTTATTTTACAATAAAAAATATACATATTGATATTCATCGCGGAGTCTGTATAAAATGGCATGTTCTATTTATTTGTCTGATTATATATGCTGATTTCCAATTCAACATATCAGTCTCAAATATGGACATGTTCTATTTATTAATACTGATTTCCATTCTACATATTAGTCTCAAATATGGAATCTAATGAAAAGGTTATCACCCTGTAATATATATCATTCTTGCACAAGGTAGTTTTGAGGTTGATTTGTGTTTTATATTCCATATTAACAATAAATGTTGTAATATACCGACATATTATACATTATAGATATTGATACTGATTAAATTGATATATTTATTGCAGTAGATACTGGTGTTATTGCTGGAAGCGTCGTGGGATGTATTCTAGTGGTCATATTAGTTATCATTGTCGTAGTCGTCATACTAAAACGGTAAGGATAACATTTTTGTCCCCCGCCTTTCGAAGAAAGCAGGGGACTATTAAAATGGATTCGCCCGTCCGTGTGTCTATCTGTCTATCCGTCACGCTTTTTGGGACACAATAACTCTCCTTCTAATTGAGCTAGACTGTTAAAACTTGATGTAGGTGTTTATTAGATCAATGCCTCGATGGAGTTCGAAGATGGGCATTTTCTACTTATATTAGGGTAAGCAGAGATCAGCAATTGAGGTAGAATGTTCAAACTTGGTGTAGGCGTTCATTAGGCGAATGCATTGATGGAGTTCGATGATAAACATTTTCTGCTTACGGTAAGCAGAGATAACCAATCTGACTGGTTGGTACTTTGGGGCATGATAACTTTGGTTTTAATTACGTTTGAGTGACGAGTATAGATGCATTATATCATTACCTTGACTATGTTTGATGATGAGAATTTTCTGCTTCGGCTAAGGAGCGATAAGCAATTTGATTGGTCAAGACTTTGGAACATTACAACTCTGCTTTTAATTAAGGTAGAATGTTTAAACTTGAGGTAGATGTTCATTAGGTGAATGTCTTGACTGAGTTCAATGATTAACATTTGGAGCTAAAGCTAAGCACAGCTAATCAATTTCATTGATCGATGCTTTGGAACAAGATAATCTTGATTCTATCTTATAGAGAGAGATGAAACTTATTGTATAGTTTGATTGCTCGATACTTTTGAAAAAAAAATAAATGAACGATTAATTAATTCTTGTCATCTATTTAATTTGGGATTTCGGCGGAGACACCAGCCTCACTGTTGGCTTGTTTTTCTCAAAAAGAACAAAATATCGTGACCATTTTTGAAACATTTCCATACCCGACTTAGTCTAACCCTAGTTACCGAATGATCTCGACGACCCCATTTTTAGATTTCTGTCCTGGATCCCCAAGGATTATGAATATACTCTAATATCATTATTTATCACAGTCCCTATTATAAAATATATTTAATTGACCTACTGCTATCTAATTAGTATTTAGAGATCTTTGAAAAATATGGCGTGACATATTCTAAGCGGCACATAAGATGATACACCCTATTTTACCGTGGATAATATTTATATTTCTAGACAAAACAGCGGTACAGAAGATGATACAGGCCTATGAACGTTGGATAATATTTCTATTTCTATACAAAAACAGCTGATTATAATGGTTCACCAATCCGGTGTCTGGGATTCTCATAAAACGGCGAATGGCGAACGCCAAACATTGGGATCGTTATAATATGTAGATTTCAAAAGGGTGCCACGATGGCTAAGTGGGCAAGACACTGACTCGCTAGCCTTTAGGTCGCGGGTTCGATCCCTGCATTGGCCGAGGAAGCTCGTCGAGAACGGAGGGCCTGATAGCACCTCTGTCTAGCCGTGTATACATTGGCGTGCACGTAAAAGATCCATTGACAGTTGGAATTCGATATACGAGTAGGCAAAATTTCCCTCAGAGAACACTGTATGGCTTATGCCCGTCTTCATTAGCCCAGTCGGAGCAGGACATTAAATCCCATTTCATTTCATATATTTCAGAAAGAAGGGTATATGTTATAAAGAAGGTGGTACCTCCAATACAGTGTACGACACACCAACTAGTTTTAACCAGGACGCTTCGCCCTACACTGATTTAACAGTGAGTAACCACTGTAGAAGTGGACACCAGCCCTATCATGAAAATTCGCCCGTTTAGGTTAGCAAAATCATGATGACTTTGTTCAAAAAGAATGCAACGGTTTGAAGTACATTGTCCCTGTCCATGCAATATGTATTAAATGGATTATGATGGGTTTACGATGACTGACAATAATAAACTTCAAATGGAACGAAATTAAATGGGGTTTGACGTCCTGCCCCAACTGGGCTAATAAAGACGGTCATACTTCGTGATCATGCATTGTGCTATAAGGGAGATTTTATGGCACACCAGCTCCGACCTGGCTATATATAGACAATTATATGGTGAACAGTACGAGACAAACTATATGTAATCATTGAATGTATATATGTACATGAATAAAAACCAAATATTACTGAATATCAAATAATTGAAAATAAACAAAAAATAAAAACACTGACTAACTTAAGCACGTGTGCTCATTTATAAATAGAACACCCAACCTGTAATTATTTCCTTATCACGTTGTTCACCGGCTTGACATTATTTATCATCTATACTTCCTTGACGGTAGGTTTAACCCTTGTGGGTTCACGTTGTGAGAATCACATAGCAGGTATCATGGGGTCCATATGGACCCCAGTTATAATTTAAGTTTTTACGTACAGATATATTTGAATTAAAAGGCAGCGGTTTGGTTTTTATTTGCATTCATATTTGACATCTGAAAAACAACTAAATTATTATCCAAAACCATTTTAGTGGCATATCGAAAATTGCTACTTTGTGTACTATGTGATAAAGAGGTTAAATGGCAATTCAAGCTTGATACAAAAACCATTCAATATTTGGAATTCATCATTTAATTTTTGGTATTTGTAACACGCAGATGCTAAAAGAGGGAATACTCTGACATACGCAATATGGTTTCAGGCAGCAAACACATTAGAAAAATCACTACTGTGAGTTATAAGTTAGGGGTCCGGTTGGACCCCTTGTTCCCTTCAAGCGTTGGGCCTGATTTGCATGTGATATAACTCTGTATGTGGGAAGCATATGAATACCGATCTCTTTGCTACGTGTAAAAATGTATTGGAGACAAAGTCACTAAATTTCAGAAAGTTGTACCCAGTAGTTGTCACAAAACACTATAAAACATGTGCATGGGGTCCACGGAGAACCCACGTGAACCGACAAGGGATAATATATGCTTTCTTCCATGCTGTTGTCACCAGGGCATAAATCTGGCAACTCTGAATCATTATCTTTAATGTTGAGGGGCAAAAGGTGCAACCCTAGTTGTTGGGGACCATGGTTTGATCCTTGTTGATGGGGGTTGGGGGATGGGTTGCCAAATGGTTTGCCGGTGTGCGGTCTGTCTGTCATTGAGTTAACTGACGTGGTTTCGAGTCCCCGCGTGTACGTGATAAGGAGTAGGGTGGCCTGCCCGACCTCGTGGGTTTTCCCCAGGTCCTTCCACTGCTAAGACCTCTTCGCGCAAGAGAATTATTGAAATAAAATTGAACCACATGTAAATCCGGAAATCACCTTAATTGTGTCGAGTGGACGTTAAACCCCATTTTTCTCTCTCCTGTTTGTTGGTGGTAACAGTACAAAACTGATTGTTGGGGGTAACAGTACAATCCCTGGTTGTTGGGGGCCATGGCATGATCCTGTTTGTTAGTGGTAACAGTACAACATTGGTTGGGGGGGGGGGGGGGTGGATGGCTGAATGGTTAGCACGTGCGCGCTCTATCATAAAGTCTGTCATTGAGTCAACTGGCGTGGTTTCGATCCCCGGTTGAACGTAACAAGGAGTAAGGTCGCCTGTCTAACTCCGTGGGTTTTTCCGGGTCCTCCGGTTTCCTTCCACTGCTAAAGACCCCTACGCGCAAGCGAATTATGGAAATAAAATTGAACCATATGTTAGTCCCGAAATGACCCAGTTTGTGTCGAATGGACGTTAAACCCTATTTCTCTCTCTCTCTCTCCTGGATGTTAGTGGTAACAGTACAACCCTGATTGTTGGGGGCAACAGTACAACCCTGATTGTTGGGGGTAACAGTATAATCCCTGGATGTTGGGGGCCATGGTATGATCCTGGTTGTTGGTGGTAACAGTACAACCTTGGTTGTTGGGGCCAAATGTATGACCCTTACTGTTGGAGACAATATTATTATTAAAGAGTAATGAAAATGATAGCACCAAATGAATATTTAGTAGTCTCATTATAATAGTGCACACGTTAGACCGCCCCACCCCCCTCCCCCATACACCCGTCTTGAATTTTGTACCATTTGTGATTAGATGAAAATAACATTAATGAATTAATGAATTGTTCGTTTATTACAGCACAAAACGTAGGATATGTATACAATCGTCTTGATATGCTAGTTGAATTTCGAAAATTTTCAGTTTATTATTTAAGGTATTTGTTATGAGCGGGAAATATCATTTAATAAATAAATATTTAATCATTTAGCACACAGTCTAATATTACTGTTTTAGGATTTGTTTTATACAAACCAGCAACCCAGTTTGCTACCATGGATATTGCCTAATAATGATATATGATTTTTACCTTTCACGTTGCATTTACACACTCTATATTTGACACCTATTTAGTTATTTATATCAAATGGATATTTATAATTGTACAACAAAATAACAGCAGGTAAACACAACTTGAGTAATGCTTAAATATTAAAGCTTCGATGCGTCAATTTAAGCCAAATGAATCCCTTGCAACCTACAGTATTGTGGACAATGAATATCTAATAGTATTATCAGTCCAAAAATAATTCAGTTCCGTTCAGTGAATACAAAATTTTATGTTAAATTGAAACATATGGTACTGGCTATGTAATAAGCTGGTCTTCGCTTTGTTGTGGGTGAACAGAAATAATAAGCCTTTTTAAAAAAAAAAATCCGATTGAATCAAAGCCGCCTGCGTGGGGTGGGTATTTTTTTATTACGTTTTAAATATTTTAGCGAAAAATGCGCATGATGTATTGTTACTTTAAATAATATTACACCTGTTTGCATCTTCAAAAGTATGATTATGTCATAGTACATATTTAAATTATATCTTTGTAAAGCGTTGATAAACTATGTCAAGGAAGTTCAGATAAATTTGAGATTAATGGTGTAGTTATTCACACACCGAAACCCTATCAGACAGGACATATAGCTAACAATGTAAGTACACATTTTTACATTACTTTAAAGTTATGCAAAAGATAAACGAACTAATTAAGACAGTTCAGTCAATTAACCAGACGAAGAATGCCGGAGTCGCTTATATAAATGTAAGGTTTCCCATCTGCCCACGCACTAAATTGAGCACGCAGTTGCAACACGAAACGACCTGAGAGAGAGAGAGAGAGAGAGAGAGAGAGAGAGAGGCGGGATTTAACGTCCACTCGACACAAACTAGGTCATTTCGGGACTAACACATGGTTCAACTTTATTTCAATAATTCGCTTGCGCGTAGTGGTCTTTAGCAGTGGGGGGAGGGGGAACGATGGACCCGGAGTAAACCCACGAGGTTTGACAGGCGACCCTACTCCCTGTCACGTACAACCGGGAAATCGAAACCACGCCAGTTGACTCAATGACAGACCTTATGATGCAACTTGCACGCGCTAACCTTTCAATCATTTTTATAGTAAGATTGAGCGTCTATGCTTTCCATCTTTACCAAATTCACCATACTTTTATTTGAAATAATCGTCCGAAACATATTGTCGTGAAAATGTATCTTTAAGGCCCAATATAGACAGATTTAGCCTGTTGAATAGATAAAATCGCTAATACATTGAAACGAAGTGCTATTTAACACATTCAGTATCAAATCAAAGGGATGTATTAGGTGTTGAAGATGAAAGTGTGTTTTAAACACAATTGAGTAAGCCGATGATCATGGCGTGGTTTAAGACCAAGTGTGTGTAATAAGAGCTTTATTATGACAGTGTTATACACCCGGGCTTCAGTCTGACAATCCTATAGGTAAATTCGGCACTGCACGCCTTAGAATTATTTCAAAAGTAGATGAATATATCTTGTAAATTATTCGATATGTTTAGAATTTTCTTAGCGTTTTGCTGACTGATATTCTGAAAGCTGCATTTAGTTGCTGTTGCCATATCGCTATATCTGCAACTTGGTTGTATTGCTATAAATATTATGTGTTGTTTTGGTTCTCTGATGTATAATTTAATATTAAATTATATATTATGTTAATCTAAACAAATGGATTGTTCAAAATTTTTAGTATATTTCTATACGAATAATCAAAAGCATCAGACTTTCATCTGCAAAAGTATGATAATTTAACCGTCAATCATGCGGTTGGTGGTTCCAATCTCACTTTTCATTTTTTAGTTTGGATTATTTGAGAGTAATGGATATGTTTTGTTAAGATCATTTCATTGAGCAATTCGATAATCCAATGGAAGCTCGAGGACAACGGCGGAAGCCAATTCCCATCCACGCCGAACCATGAACAATTACAGGCTTTTTAAAGTATTTTTTCAAGACATTTGTATAAAACAGAATGCTATTAATGTATCTGAGGGCTGGAAGTAAACACCATATGTATGAATAGAAAAAGAAATTGTTAGGTTTTTTTTTATCTACTACCTCTATTAAAACAGTTGAATCACCGTTTAATTTCATGGGTTATTGTTTCCTTTACTCCGTTTTTGTCAAGTCGGTTCCGGTCATTTTTATTTTTTTGTATCAAAAGGTTGGGAGGTTGCTTGTTCACGTGAGCATAAATTTTCTGAATCCACCCCATGAAAGAAGTAGCTATGGGGCGTCAAATTTTGGGTGACGAAAAATAAGGAATTGAGATAGTCCGTATACAGATCTCGTTCGCCAGAATCGTCTGAAATTAATTTTGTGGTAACAGCACTAGGTCATCTACAAACTGTGTGAGTTTGGTATTTTTGCTACGTATAGTAAAGGTGCGAGGACTTGCCAAAGTTGATATTTGAGAAAAGACGAATTTTGGCAATTTCACCATAAGAAAAATGTTTTTTTCAATATTCTTAGTCAGGAATAAAAATTGAAACATTTATCTAATATTACACATTTATGTGATTTGTGACTTTTCAACTTATTAACAGAATTTGGCAAAAATTTGTGATTGACGCTTTAATATAGTCTTAGTATGATACAAGTATGGAGTACTATGTCATATTATCTAAGCATCGAAAAAAGTTTGCATTAGGGACGATGCGTGGCATTCGTAGCTCACATGAAAGAGGGTCGCGAAAGGTTTTGTTTTAAAAATCACTTACAACTTCAAGTACCGTCTACGATTTATCTACGAATCGGAACAATTTGGGATTCGGGGCGATTCGTGGCATTCGTAGCCCACGTGAATGTCGGGCATTAGTCAACTTGCTCAATTGGGATACAAGATATTTATCTTTCAAATAACCTTTTGCATGGCATGTGTGAATCTCTATTTCCCTACATATTATTCAAGTGTCACCCAGAGTTAATTCAACAAAGCAGCAGATTGATTGTAGATCTAAAAAAATAAATTTAAAAAACAATTGAACAGATTAATTGTCAATATCCTGTAATAAAACCACCCAACTTAAATCAACTGAATGATAAAGATTAATGCCAACAATATTTATATTAAAGCGACGATACGTCTATTCATTACAGAATAATATGTTTACATTATTTGAACAGGCATTATACAAGAGCTAAATGGGCCCATTGCAGGTCTTTCTTTAGGTTTTAAATGTTATCTTAATTATTAATCAGACATTAATTAACTTATCGCGACCATGATCAACTCTCGATGCCATCGTTAGGTCACGATATTTAGCGGATTTGAATATGTTTTGCGATGGATGATTGAGCGTAAATATGGACAATCGAGACTTTGTTTATTATCGTACCACCAGTAGTAATGTTGATCGAGGCTAGCCTAAAATCCAATTTCTAATATCTCGGTTCAGAGTGAAGCAATTTAACTGAAATGTTCAGCATTATTTCTTTATCTATTTTTAACTATTACAGCTATAACTGTCAACTCTTTATCTAATGTTACCTAATGCGGCTTTAATTAATCAGTTTTTAATCCTACTAATTGTTGAATTATATATATATATATATATATATATATATATATATATATATATATATTCGAAATAAAGATGTTTTAGGAAAAAAAACTAGGTTTTTGCGAGTACATTCCGCTTTATTAAGCTACTTCAGGCAAATTTTACCTAAAACATCTTTATTTCGAATATCTAACACCTAAGTGTAGCTTTAACTATAACCTTTTATTATATTCCAACAGTTTCAACTCTGCAACTTTGTAATATCCTTTTTTAAAAAAAACCCTCATATTGTTTATCATCACTCCAAAACGCCACTTATTGTACATAAATATTATATTGGTAGCAAACAATATTAGAATTAAAATCTTCAAACGATGTATTTGAGATATGTGAAAGTTTGTAAGAATTAATAACAGTATTGTTTATTAACACTGCGTCTATATGTGTAATTTATTTCCTGATTGATAAGACTTGTTAAACTTAAATTATAAAAAAAGAAACAAGTTGTCGTGCACGAACAATACACAATAACATACTGTATATTTAAAATCACGTGACCCCTTTCTGTTTCCATAAAGATAGGGTGACCCATGCACTCTACAGAAATACAGTCCACTGCTGATAGTTCGAGTCTACCACTGAAGCGTGCACATTCGCCATGTCGAGACCAACTTTCTGACAGTATGATACAATAAATAGCCATGGCACGTGCAATTCTCTACAAATCTATCAACTATTACAGCCGTAAAAAAATTTATTGTTGACGATTTTGAATAGCAGTAAAATTAAGCTTCTTGGTTATTACAGCAGATTCAGAAATTACGTTCGTTTCATTTTTTAAATCGCTTTATTATCATTAACTGTACCGTTAAGAGCGGCATCTTTTGGTTTAGTACAAATAATATCTCTGAAACACTCGGGTTAGACAGGAACATGATACTAGCAGTAGTTTTATTTTACTTTTACAAGCTTCTTAAAACAATTGTTGAGCTAGCTAACGTGCTTATTTCTAAATTCAATTTCTTGTTCTAGCTTTCTGTTATGTTTCGTAAAAAGTAGTCTTGTTTATCCCGATCTGTCAATCAGACGTAGAATGGTCGATAGACTGGTTAAGCGAGACTAATTTCAAAACAAGGGCACGTAACCTATCTTTTATTCAAAAGTGTCTGGATGTTATGGACGACACTTGGAACCAGTTCTCAATCTATTATTTATAGATGATTAATGGTCATAGCTTATTAAGTACAACATGATCGTTTATTTAGTGACTATAATTGTGTGAAACTGATTTGAGGCTTGGCATATATATAAATATTGTGGCGTAATTGTCGAGATATTTGGAGATATTTATTTATGGTGGGTCACCCTAATAAAGAATAGGTATGTTTATTGTTATAATGTGTTAGAGACTATAAATTCGAGTTAGTATTTTTAATAGTTTGCTATATATGTAATATACCCATTAAATTTGTTGCAGAATCAAGAAATATGAAAACCATATTTGCTGTGTTTCTTCTCATACCTTTGACTACAGGTTTGTTAATATTGATATAATATTTATATTGGTTACAATATAAGATAAGAGGATAGAAGAACTAATAAATTGTGATTCTATATCTATTGTGCATTTGAATATGAGTGGGTACTCTTTCAGAGTTGACATACCTAAAATTTGTTTGTTTCTGTATTTTGAGGAATTATCTAACGCTGAGTTGATACGGCGAACACACGATAATGTTTTCCGATGCCTGAAAGCTCATAAAATAACTGTTTAAATCTTACTTTAACAGGATTGAAGAGTTATGCTTGTAAATGTCGAAGAAATGGACGTTGTACGGAACACAACCTAATCAGTGTTATTGTTATATTATATAAATCAGAATAAGTTTACGCTGAAAACACAAATAAATAATTTATCAGTGCCTCGTAATCAGGTCAGTTAAGACCTGTGAAAATTATTTGACTCACTTGTACAGTTTTTGTGTACGACTTCAGATCACTATCACAACCTTAACCTGTATTCAAATGATTTTCAGTCACAACTGCCTTGCCCACCAGAAGCACGATCCCTACAACAGTTACAATAAAGTCGACTGATATAGACAGTTCCAAACATGAAAAATCCAGAGAATCCTACACTCCTGAAGATGTATCTGGAAGAACAGAAGTAATCTTAAATACTATGGCCATGGTTTTAAATAAAGATACACAAGGTGATTTATTACATCGATATTCTTGTATAAAAGCATAAATAATAATGCGTACCTTTGTCGAAAATCGAGTAACATCTGTATAACATAGTTTCTTTTAATCCCATAATAATAATAACAATGATAAGGCATCATTTCTATTAGGATTCATTAAAACGAGTGAAATACTAACTGAAATAAAATTTATCGAAAATACCATAAACAATGTACATATTGATATTCATCCCTAAGTCTGTATAAAATGGGCATGTTCTATGTTAGTAATACTTATTTTCCATTCTACATATTAATCTCAAATATGGAATCTATGGAAAGGGTAATCTCCCTGTAAACCCAACTGAAATATATATCATTCTTGCACAAGGTAGTTTTGGGGTTGATTTGTGATTTATATTCCATATTAACAATACCTGTTGTAATATACCGACATATTATATATTATAGATATCGATACTGATTATATTGGTATATTTATTACAGTAGATACGGCTGCTATTGCTGGAAGCGCTGTGGGGTGTATTCTTCTGATCATATTAGTAATTATAGTTGCCGTCATACTAAAACGGTAAGGATAAAATGTTTATTTTTCTATTGAGCAAAAACTGAATAAGCCCACGAATAATTATGGGCAAGTCACTTAAAAGTGTTACACACAGAATCAAATCCTCATCCCACACAGAATCAAATCCTCATCCCTTCCTCATCTCCTTAGATTTGGGTGTTAAAGATCACATGATTTAGTTGAATTTATATTCATTTCCCATCCACCCAATAATTCTTGCAATCATGTAGCTTATCCAGAATGGCACTTACTATAATTGTGTATTCTATTATCATTTTATCATTATCAAGTATATAACGTTGTCAGTTTGTGTAGTATTTATGGGAAATGTATTTTGGTATGCCTGATTAGTAGTACCGCTAGCTTCTGGAATCCAACTCTCTCGTTATGCAATGCCCTATGTCTTCTATGAGGCACTATGTGGTTTATCTGTTTAAACACCTCTTTTCAGGAACCCACATACCCGATAAATATAGACCGTCTGGTTCTTAGGTTTAAATGACAATGGAAACGGTGATGTGTTATTTGTATAAATTAGGTGCAGTAATGACCGAAAACAGATACAAATCCTAAGATATCACGGGTTCCATATATACATGATTTGAAAGAATGTTTGATATGTCGGATGAGAAATGAAATAAATATAATATCTCAAAAAATAAAGATCATCTAATTCTAGCTTTAGAGGACAAGTCGATTTGCTGCAAGTAGAACAGTTACGAATTTTTTTTACCGGAATTGACTGTCTTTAAGAATGTAAGCATAGACTTCATCAACATAAGCATTAGACAGGCAATCAGTTCGTCTTATGTATATCCTGTTTCGATCTGATATCCTCCAGTCGTATGCAGCTCTCTATTTCAGTCATTTACAACAACGTTTGTCACCAATCAATTATCGTGTTTACAGATCAACCATAGGCAAGATATATATTGTTCTATTATAGTTAGAACCCGATTAACCAATTCTATCATTTATGTACAACCAGTGGACGCTGGTATTGTTCTTTAATATTATATTAAAATTTATTTACGCACCTGATTGAAAAGTTTGTTACAGATTCACTTTATTTCTTTGTAGAAGAATGATTGGGGCTTTGATCGACAGTCGCTTGAAAGGCAGTCCAAGAGTGTCCAATCCAGTATACGAAGCACCTGGCGATGGTTACAATAATGTTATTTTCAAGAACGATAATTCTCCATCTGTAAACGTGATTAAATCAGCAGACGATTACAATTATTTATACGGCGAACACACGATAATGTTTTCCGATGCCTGAAAGCTCATAAAATAACTGTTTAAATCTTACTTTAACAGGATTGAAGAGTTATGCTTGTAAATGTCGAAGAAATGGACGTTGTACGGAACACAACCTAGCTTGTGATGACAAAACAAAACGGATTCATATTATTTCCGGTTACTATGGCTTCACATATTGGTACTCGTGCTTTTTTAAGGATTATTATGATCTCGATGAAGACTGTCTTCCTGGATTTAATGCCACAGTCCGTTCGAATCTTATAGATTCATGCAATGGAAAGACGACATGTAACTTTCAAACACCAATTCCAGATTTTAAATATTGCTCTATAAAAATCGATTTCTATGGCAGAAGAAAATACGTTGGTCATGATACATACTCCTACCATGCGTATGAGCATTATACATACTCCTACATACAGTTTGAATGCTTGGCAGGTAATCAGTGTTATTGTTATATTATATAAATCAGAATAAGTTTACGCTGAAAACACAAATAAATAATTTATCAGTGCCTCGTAATCAGGTCAGTTAAGATCTGTGAAAATTATTTGACTCACTTGTACAGTTTTTGTGTACGACTTCAGATCACTATCACAACCTTAACCTGTATTCAAATGATTTTCAGTCACAACTGCCTTGCCCACCAGAAGCACGATCCCTACAACAGTTACAATAAAGTCGACTGATATAGACAGTTCCAAACATGAAAAATCCAGAGAATCCTACACTCCTGAAGATGTATCTGGAAGAACAGAAGTAATCTTAAATACTATGGCCATGGTTTTAAATAAAGATACACAAGGTGATTTATTACATCGATATTCTTGTATAAAAGCATAAATAATAATGCGTACCTTTGTCGAAAATCGAGTAACATCTGTATAACATAGTTTCTTTTAATCCCATAATAATAATAACAATGATAAGGCATCATTTCTATTAGGATTCATTAAAACGAGTGAAATACTAACTGAAATAAAATTTATCGAAAATACCATAAACAATGTACATATTGATATTCATCCCTAAGTCTGTATAAAATGGGCATGTTCTATGTTAGTAATACTTATTTTCCATTCTACATATTAATCTCAAATATGGAATCTATGGAAAGGGTAATCTCCCTGTAAACCCAACTGAAATATATATCATTCTTGCACAAGGTAGTTTTGGGGTTGATTTGTGATTTATATTCCATATTAACAATACCTGTTGTAATATACCGACATATTATATATTATAGATATCGATACTGATTATATTGGTATATTTATTACAGTAGATACGGCTGCTATTGCTGGAAGCGCTGTGGGGTGTATTCTTCTGATCATATTAGTAATTATAGTTGCCGTCATACTAAAACGGTAAGGATAAAATGTTTATTTTTCTATTGAGCAAAAACTGAATAAGCCCACGAATAATTATGGGCAAGTCACTTAAAAGTGTTACACACAGAATCAAATCCTCATCCCACACAGAATCAAATCCTCATCCCTTCCTCATCTCCTTAGATTTGGGTGTTAAAGATCACATGATTTAGTTGAATTTATATTCATTTCCCATCCACCCAATAATTCTTGCAATCATGTAGCTTATCCAGAATGGCACTTACTATAATTGTGTATTCTATTATCATTTTATCATTATCAAGTATATAACGTTGTCAGTTTGTGTAGTATTTATGGGAAATGTATTTTGGTATGCCTGATTAGTAGTACCGCTAGCTTCTGGAATCCAACTCTCTCGTTATGCAATGCCCTATGTCTTCTATGAGGCACTATGTGGTTTATCTGTTTAAACACCTCTTTTCAGGAACCCACATACCCGATAAATATAGACCGTCTGGTTCTTAGGTTTAAATGACAATGGAAACGGTGATGTGTTATTTGTATAAATTAGGTGCAGTAATGACCGAAAACAGATACAAATCCTAAGATATCACGGGTTCCATATATACATGATTTGAAAGAATGTTTGATATGTCGGATGAGAAATGAAATAAATATAATATCTCAAAAAATAAAGATCATCTAATTCTAGCTTTAGAGGACAAGTCGATTTGCTGCAAGTAGAACAGTTACGAATTTTTTTTACCGGAATTGACTGTCTTTAAGAATGTAAGCATAGACTTCATCAACATAAGCATTAGACAGGCAATCAGTTCGTCTTATGTATATCCTGTTTCGATCTGATATCCTCCAGTCGTATGCAGCTCTCTATTTCAGTCATTTACAACAACGTTTGTCACCAATCAATTATCGTGTTTACAGATCAACCATAGGCAAGATATATATTGTTCTATTATAGTTAGAACCCGATTAACCAATTCTATCATTTATGTACAACCAGTGGACGCTGGTATTGTTCTTTAATATTATATTAAAATTTATTTACGCACCTGATTGAAAAGTTTGTTACAGATTCACTTTATTTCTTTGTAGAAGAATGATTGGGGCTTTGATCGACAGTCGCTTGAAAGGCAGTCCAAGAGTGTCCAATCCAGTATACGAAGCACCTGGCGATGGTTACAATAATGTTATTTTCAAGAACGATAATTCTCCATCTGTAAACGTGATTAAATCAGCAGACGATTACAATTATTTACATGATGCCACGACCGATAACTCAATGACAACTGGTAACACGTACAACTATCTGGGGCAAATGGGTAGTGATTATAACCATTTACATGGAGCCTATAATCATCTTGGTATGGTAAATAATAAGACGAAGAATTCAGAAGAACTTCACAATGCCAACTACAACCATATTGGTGGGTGGAAGGTTGACAAACCTGATGTTGACTATAACCATCTTCATGGTGACAAGAATGATATTCCAAAAGCCGATTATAACCACCTAGGCGAAAACAAGAAGACAGCAATTTCAAATGACTACAACCATATAAGGGACATAACCAACGAGACGACTGGTGATGTCCAGGGAGAACATCAGGAAGATGTTCAGTACGAGATAGCTGACGATCAAAGGGGATATTACTCCAATATTTCTGAACGGCAATCGGACTATGAAAATGTTCGCATTTCGGGTCATCAAACTTGTGGGTAGTTTCAGAACTGATGTTCCTACAATTGCTAACCTACACGATAGTATTATCATTCTGTATAGAGTAGTAAAATATTTAACAAATTATATTTATAGTTTGTTCATTGTACGCCTAAAATTGAAAGCCCCTGCTCCAATGCGAACCACAACAGGTGGTAAATGAGATTAATATTTAAGATGCTTTATTATTTTAAGATAGTCTATTGTTTTTGCAGATAATTGATGACATAGATTTGTATTTTACTATGTTTTAGTTACAATTTATTTATTTTATATGGGGATTTCATTTTGATAAAATGCTTTATTTTGTATTTTAATATATGGAAATTATAGTTAGTGCATTTCATATTTTTATGGCGATATATAACGTCTTCATTAGCCCAGTTGGAGTAGAATAGTAGGACGTTAAACCTATTTAATTTATATTATTATTAAGTATTGTAGTTATAGTTTGTTGATATCGGCCCGGCTTTTCAAAGCTCTGTTAGCTTATAACGACACTTTAACATGGAGTTAACGGATCGTTATCTTTAACGGAAAGAAAGTCGGTTGCTGGAAGCCCCGTTAAGTTTAACATGTCGTTAATTTGCCGTTGTATTTAATGAAGGGGTTGGGGCTCCATTATCTGTTTAACGATGTCAGTTGAAGAATACCCTTAGCAAAAAGTTATATATTACCAGTGTAGTTTTCTATAGAATTCTACAGAACATTCTAGGGGGTTAGGGATATCCTATTTCCTGTAGGAAATAACGGCCCCAAATATTCTAAAGTTTCTGTAGTACAATTCCTATAATTGTTTCTACAGATTTATGATAAAATTTCTATAGAAAAATACTATATCGTTTTCTTATAGTGATTTCTGTAGGAAATTCTAAAGTAATCTTTTTGTCTTTAACCAGGTAGTGTGAACAGACTGCATCGTTCTCCCACTGTCTTCAGTTTCTGATTAATAATAAATTCTATGCAGTTGAATATGTGCATTGAATTTAAAAATGTAAAATTCAGCCATTGACCTAACAGTCTTCTCTTTTATTAACTTTAATCAGTTCGTTAGATAACGGATAATGAAATTGACTTTCCACAACTAACGATCCATTAAAATAACTGAGATTTGAGCAACCTGCCCAGGTCATAAATGAAAGACACTATAATTCTAATTTAATATGAAAGTAAAATATAAAATGTTTTATTATTTTAAAGTGGTTTTGATGTTATAAATTACTGTTTTCAGCTGCTCATTTTATATCGTGACTAGCTGTTTATAGGAGTTTAGTAAAAGTAAAGTCCGAAATCGGAAGTGATAGTGGCAAGCCACCCGACATATCCTGCTGTCCTTACACCCCTTATGTCTACCCCGGGAAGTCCTAGTGTAGCCGGCAACCCATAACGGACGACGGTCACAAATGTAATATATAATGGAAAGTAAACCATAACTTGGTTTATTATTTATCATATATCTCCTACATAGTTTATTAGGCGGTATTAACAAATAATGTTCAATCTATGCCTGCTCGTCTTACCTGCTGCGTGCCTTACGGATCGGTGCTCGGTCCAATATTGCTTCCGCTATACTGCCATAATTTAGCTGGTATTATCGCTAAACATGATCATGATCATCATATTATTATTTATCATATATTGTCGACATAGTTTATTACAGTTATAGTTTGTTAATTTTTATATAGCGATAGTTGAACAAAGAAATAAAATGCCTTTTCATTTTAATATGTTGCTGTTAAAGTTTATTGATGCAGTGAGCATTGAAAGTGAAACTCTTAAAAAAAGTAGGAGATATTCAGAAACAATACAAAACTTTGGAAACACCCTGCTGTTTAATTAGAGGTAACCAGTGTATGTTAAAAACAGGCCAATTGACTACACATGAACATAAACAGTTCATATGGGCGGCTTATCTGACGGCCTCATTTCACTCGCAAAGAGATATACTGTCAAAAGTGAAAATGGACGTTTTTGATTTTTGTCTTAATAATGAGTAATTGCTCCACCAATCCCCAGACATTCAGCAATTCGCCGTGGCATGCTCCTAATCAACCGTCCAATCACGATTTGGGGCAATCTGACCCACTCCTCTTGCAGTGCCACGGCCAATTCTAGCAGTGTTGTCCGTTGACGTCGACGAACACGTCCCAGACATGCTCTATAGAGGAAAGGTCAGGACTCACGGCTGGCCAAGGCATATGGAGAATATGGTGACGCTGGAGGTAATCATTCACGACACAAGTGCGGTGGACACTGGAATTATCATCTTTAAAGATGAAACGTCGGCCTGCACGTTGAGCAAAGGGCAGAAGTATCGGTGTCGGGGTGTGGTCAAGAACCGATAGGAAAGCAAACGTAGATAGGATAAATCAGCACGCGGCAGTTTTCATCAACCCTTGCTTGAAGTGTCAAATTTGACAATGAACCCCTCCCACGTGTATGGCGCTATTGCGTGTCGCACCTGCAACTCAGTGGTTCTGTTGGGGCGATAAGTTCTTCATCTGTGAACATACTCTCAAAGCATGTCAAGTGTCCTTGACTATTTATTATATCACAACCTGCATAGGTATTTGCATTTCAATATCCCCTACTTTTTTTGAAGAGTATATAAAAGGTTATATTACATTAACATGCACATATATAGTTATAGTATGTTCATTTTAATACACCTATATTTCCATGTGGTCGCGATATGGCGTCGCCCCTGTCCTTATGGATGTTCGTTCACATTTGTTTGTGGACATTCTACCTGTCACACATAAATCAACCGAATGAGGAACATTAATACCAACAACATTTATATTAAAGCGACGATACGTCTATTCAAATCAGAATAACATGTTTTCATTAATTGTTGAATATGTATATGTTACAGTCAATGTCTCCGGATTTGGCCCATCCCGGCCCTCAGGAGCTTTAACCCAACTCAAAGGTGAGACCAAAACATCGGTTAGCTTTGTGGTGACATAGAGACTATGCTCTGGGTCACCGTGACGAGAGACGGATCTGTTAGAACGGCTAACAATCCCTGTCTCTGTGTCACAAAACCCACCATAGCCCTTACCCTAGCCCTAAACCTAACCCTAATCCGGCAATGTACACATTGACTGGTATATTTCAGGCATTGTACACATTGCCTGATTGTAGACATTGACTGTCACATATATAAGTTTAGATATTTTAACAGTTTAAGCTCTGCTATCTTGTAATATTATTGAACAATGTCCATTGTGTATCACCTGGTAATGTCACCTACTATAAATAAACGTTATTTTGGTAGCAAACCAAATGAAAAATGATATTGGTAGTAACCAATTTAGAAATTAAATTTTTCACACGTTGTATTTGAGAAATGTGGAAGTATATAAGATGACCAAAATATAGTATGTTTTATTAAATAAATAACAATTTTGCTACGTATTTAATAAGACAAGCTACGATATACAAATAAAACTATATATGATTTAATAAGATAAGCTACGATATACAAATAAAACTATATATGATTTAATAAGATAAGCTACGATATACAAATAAAAATAAAATATATATGATTTAATAAGAAATGAAATGAAATGGGGTTTAACGTCCTACTGTTCTGCTCCTAAACCGGGCCAATAAAGACGGGTATACGCCATACAGTGTGCTATGGGGGAAATTTTGCCCAGGCAGCGGCACTACGGCCTACTCTTATATCGAATTCCAACTGCCAAGGGATGTTTTACGTGCACGCCAATGTGAACACGGGACCTCGGTTTTTCGTCCCATCCGAACGACTAGACAGCTGTCCTTGTCAGGCCCTCCGTCCTGCATCACTGACAAGGGGAAACCACGCTGGAAAACTTGAATGAACTTTCTCGGCCAATGCAGGGATCGAACACCCGACCTCCAGGCTAGCGAGCCAGCTTCTTACCCACTTAGCCATGTGATCCCCTGATATAATAAGATAAGCTACGATATACAAATAAATCTATATATGTTTATGTATGTCAAATAATGGATCTCCTTCAAGACATATTCCCCTAATAAACAACAAACACCTACACCAAGTTTGAACCGTGTAGCTCAATTAGAAGGACAATTATTTTTGTGTTCAGTATCTCGAGGAATCAAACTGTTTACGCAGCCTACCAAGGCATTCACCGAATAAACACCTACACCAAGTTTGCTCATTCTAGCTCTCTTAGGGGAGTTATTGTGTCCCAAAAAGTGTTACGGGTGAACAGACAGACAGGCCCATTTTTAATAGTTTCCTGTTCTCTTCGCTAGGCGGGAGATAAAATTAATATGTACTAAATGGTAGTAAGCCCAGGAAGATATCACTATGGGTTATCAATAACGGGACCGAGATAATGACCCCTATGGGTTATCAATAACGGGACCGAGATAATGACCCCCCCCCCCCCCGCCCCCCAAAAAAACATTTCTATTTATTTGTCTATGATATCGTTTTTTCGAGGAATGGCGGGGCGCCGGGGTGTTGTATAATAAGGTTTGTCAATAAGTCAACTGTCGTGGTTTCAATTCCCCGGTTGTACGTGACAGGTGGTAGGGTCGCCTGTCCAACCTCGTGGGTTTTCTCCGGGTCCTCCCACTGCTAAAGTCCCATACGCGCCTCTATAAATGTCTGCTAATGGCGATAATAACTTATTTCATGTTCGATTCGTATATTGGATGGCCGAATGGTTAGCACGTGCGTGCTGTATCATAAGGTCTGTCATTGAGTCAACTGGCGTGGTTTCGATTCCCCGGTTGTACGTGACAATGGGTAGGGTCGCCTGCCCAACCTCATGGGTTTTCTCCGGGTCGTCCGGTTTCCTCCCACTGCTAAAGATCCCTACGCACAAACGAATTATTGAAATAAAATTGAACCATGTGTTGGTCTCGAAAGGACCTAGTTTGCGTCGAGTTTCTTTCGAACCTTATGCTTTTGTTCAGCTGTGCCGGACGATGGGGGGGGGGGCTGGCAAGGAATGGCGTCTTTCGTTCAGATGGGACGAACAGTTGTGAATGTAATATAACCCTTGACAGCTTTATAATTCTAAATACAGTATTGGCACAACCCACCCACCCCCCCAAAGCACACAACGGAGTGCATGACCGTCTTCGTTAGCCCGGGCTGTGCAGAACAAGCGGGACGTTCAATCCCATTTCATTTTCTATCGAAACGCGAGGTCTCGAGGAAAATGAAGTTCCCTATGCAGTAAAGAAATTTTGCATCAAGCTTCGCGTTAATATTGTTAGAGTATACGTTGCTGTGGGGTTCTGGTGGATGGGCTGAATTCTCTAGCATATAACCTGTAATTGGGAGGCAAATGTAAGGCTAAGGACGTTTTATACTTTAAGGCTAGATTTGTATTTTAAGAGAAACCAAGATATAATATCTCCGCTCAATTTCAAACTGATCCAATCTCATATACTTTCACATTTGGTGGAATTAATCAAAACTCTTTCAGGAACAGAATAAAACCAGGTTGTAAATCTCATTCACAGGGTTGTGGAGGTCTTATTGTGGAGATCAAGACAGTTTTGAGCACTACCTATATTGCGAAGATGATGAAAGGATTTATATTATTTCCGGACACTATGGCTTCAGAGTGATTGGGTGTCACAGCTCTTGTTATAATAGACCTAAATATTGCGATTGTCTTCTTGACTTTAGTCCTACAGTCAAATCAAATCTTATGAATTTATGTAATGGGACGGAGAAATGCAACTTTCAAACACCAAAGCCACATATTCAAGTTTGCCACTTTTTGGGAGTATCATATAATGTAATGTTTGACCGTTATACATACTTCTACATACAGTATGCATGTTTGACAGGTAATGTTCAACTTTGTTATATTGTATAAATTAGACTCAATTAATAAAACTTAATTTTTCAGTTGACACAAATAATTAATTTATTGTAGTTTCTTAGTGAAGGTGAACATTTGTGAATTATATGAACTATAATAAAATTATTTTTGTATGACCCAGTTCACTTGCACAGCACTAATCTGTATTAAAATGATTTGTTTTAGCCACAACTGCATTGCCAACCAGAAGAACTACAACTACAATAGAACAAATCACTACAACTGAAATAAATAACGCTAATGCTATTAATTATAACCAAGATACACCAGGTAAGTTATAAATCGCCATATCCAATTGTCCCTGTTCTGATATATAGTTTTAATACACAAGTTTGCAAGGTTACATTTGTGTGGTATAAGGTATTCTACAAATAATGACACACTGAGTTGTAAACGCGACACGGGTCACACTAACGTTTCATCGGTAGAAGACAATCTAGGTTCAAATTTGTTGGAAAGAAACACATCGCAATTCAAACAGATTTGGGTCACTACAGTCCCAGATCGGACAACTTTGTCCTTCAGTAATGTTTGGTCGGCATGACCAACGTGACCCAAATTGTAAACAGTTCTCAAATCTGTGCTGGTTTCTAGAAACTAACCAGTTCCTTCGCTGTAAAAATTCTAAATATAAATTGTTTTTCCTAACTTTATGACGTGAACGCCATATGTGTAGTGTTACAGCACGTGCAATGCCCACCTAAATATGAGATTTTTCCTCTCTCGCAAATAGTACATTAATAGTAATAGTAATTGCCACTTGGCAGCATCGTCGCTAGGGTATTCCCCCGGATGCTTATTTATATTTTACAAGGCACGGGTACATTACGTTTGTTGCCCACTACTTCCTTTTTCAGATGTTGTAATTATACTGATATATTTTTATATAGATACAGCTGTTATTGCTGGAAGCGTCGTGGGATGTATTCTGCTGGTCATATTTGTAATCATGGTTGTTGTTTTCATATTAAAACGGTAAGGTTGATATTTTTTACGTCTTAAGTCATTAGTTAACACTATTATAAGCTGGACAGACATTTAAAATAAATTGATGTGCCAAGGGCCTAACCTAAGAAATTTTATATATAAAATCGTCAACAGCAATTTCACTGTCCAATGATATTAACCGACGAATATGGGTGACTGACTTAAGTAGACTACTTTAAATTCACGTAACTATTCGTCTTCTCCAAAGAAGGTATTTCCGGTCACTAAGACGGCCATAAATGAAAGGATGCAAGTCTTTAACACAATATCACTCACAGTCCTCGACATTGCAAACGCGATTTTTTGGTCAAATTAAATCAACATTCTAAGGGTGAAAAATGGGCTTCTGATATCCAGTATTTAAGACAGGAGAATACTATATATCCGGTGTAGACTGGAATAACCAGACCTCAAAGACTATTTGCGTCTTTCGCCGAACATAACTGATTAGAAATTACAGTAAAAACAGAAACGATTGAATGTAAATCAGTTTATATCCATTCATATGGCATTAGTATGTGCGTTGCGACCCATGTGTGTCCATTTCTAGATGCCAAAGAATAGCGATTTAGCTCAGATTTCCCCTTTTGCATTACTTCCACAAATCGAGTTTACAGATCAAAAATAGTAATGATTTTGCCATTACATTTGAAATCTGTTCAACCAATTCTATCTGATAAGTATAATGAGTGGACACCGGTATTGTTCCTTATGATTTTATATAAAATATGTTTCGTATCTGAGCGACAAATTTGTTACATATTCACTCTATTTCATTTTAGAAAAACAATTGGGTCTTTTAATGACAGTCGGTTCAAAGGCAACTCAAGAGTCTCTAATCCAGTATACGAAGAACCTAGCGATAGTTACAATAATGTTGTTTTCAAGAACGATAATTCTCCATCTGTAAACGTGATTAAATTAGCGGACGATAATTACAATCATTTACATGATGCCAAGAACGATAACTCAATGACAACTGGTAACACGTACAACTATCTGGGGCAAATGGGTAGTGATTACAACCATCTACATGATAATAACAACAGACTACGTGTCGATGATCAGTCAAGTGGAGCCTATAATCATCTTGGTATGGTGAATAATAAGACACACAATCCAGAAGAACTTCACAATGCCAACTACAACCATATTGGTGGGTCGAAGGTTGACAAACCTGACGTTGACTATAACCATCTTCATGGTGACAAGAACGATATTCTAAAAGCTGATTATAACCACTTGGGCGAAAACAAGAAGACAGAAATTCCAAATGACTACAACCATATAGGGGACATGACCAACGAGACGACTGGTGATGTCCAGGGAGAACATACACAGGAGGATGTTCAGTACGAGATAGCTGACGATGAAAGGGGAGACTACTCCAATATTTCTGAACGACAATCTAACTACGAAAATTTTCCCATTTCGGGTCATCAAACTTGTGGGTAATTTAAGTACTGATGTTCGTTCAATTACTAACAAACATTATAGTATTTATCATTCTATATTATTTTAGGGAAGCAAAATATTTACCAAATTATATTTATAGTTTGTTCATTGTACGGCATGTGTGTAGGCCTACAAGTGAAAGCCTCTGTCGCATTGAGAACCACAACAGGTGGTAAATGAAATTAAAATTTAAGATGCTTTATTATTTTAATATAGTATATAATTTGTTTTTCAGATAATCGATGACATGGATTTGTGTTTAAGTTACAATTTGTTTATTTTATATGTTCATTTCATTTTGATTATTGATAACATTCTTTATTTTGTATTTTAAAATATTCAAATTATAGTTTGTACATTTCATATTTATATGTCGATATAATGTAAAATATAAAATGCTATATTATTATTCCGTCTTCGTTGGCCCAGTAGGGGTTGAATAGTAGGACGCTACACCCCTTTTCATTTATATTATATTAAGATATTGCAGTTATAGTTTGTTGATATGGTCATAAATGAAAATTAACTAGTTTAGTTGAACATCAATATTGCTAGATATATTGAAAGTAAAATATAAAATGTTTTATTATATCTAACGTATTACTATTTTTTTAATTTTATAAATTACTTGATATATTAGCTGTTCATTTTTATGAAAGTGATAGTGACAAGCTACCAGTTATATTTTGTTAATTTGTATATGGCGATAGTTGAAAGTAAATGAACTGTCTTTTAAAGGACAATACATTGGTGTCAGTCATTATCACACATGTGATAGAACTGGTTAAACATGTTCTAAATATAATTTTAACACAGGAATAATTGCAACCAATATTGTCCTTTAATGTTAAAATGTTGCTATTACAGTTTGTCGATGCTGTGAGAACTGAAAGTAAAATATGAAATGTTGTATTACATTGGCATGTACATATAGTATTAGTTTGTTCATTTTAATACACCTATATTTTCTTGTGGTCGCAATATGTCGTCGCCCCCCGTCCTTCTGGTCGTCCGTGTGTCCATATGTCCAGACGTCCGTTCACATTGTTTGCAGACATTCTACAAGTCACGATTTTTATATGCGTTTGATAATAATTACAATCAAATTTTTATATCCCACGTATTTGGCACGTGCTGAGCATTAGTCATGACCGGATAAGACATACAAATAACTTTTGCACAAAAACAAACGAGCTAAAATATATGTAGTTAAACTACCTGGAATCCTAATAATTTCTATTTTTCATTTCACAACCCTTCTAATACACAGTTTTTGGTCTTTTACATACTTTAACAGGTCCGTTAATAGTTATTGTGTTTGTGGCTTCATTTTATAGTATACTTAACTGTTACGACCTAGATATTTGATTCATATTGTTTACATTGTGCTTAATAACGCCAGGATAGTTTTTGTTAAAAGGGTCGCATGTGATTGTTATCTATATATTTTTATTTTGTATTACGTTTAATGTTTCCTATCACTAACTGACTCACAAACAGGATAATACAGGTTAGGTCATAGTTCATCCCGATTTTCCGGCGTGGTTCCCCTTGTCAGTGATGCAGATGCAGCACGGAGGGCCTGACAAGGACAGCTGTCTAGTCGTTCGGATGGGACGAAAAACCGAGGTCCCGTGTACACATTGGCGTGCACGTAAAAGATCCCTTTACAGTTGCAATTCGATATAAGAGTAGGCTGTAGTGCCGCTATCGGGGCAAAATTTCCCTCATAGCACACTGTATGGCGTATGCCCGTCTTCATTAGCACAGTTTGGAGCAGAACAGTAGTTCGTTAAATCCCATTGCATTTCATTTCATATCAGGTTAGGTTATAGGTAGGCTACAATCGCTAATGCATTGAGCATAAATGCTTCGGTATACAGGAAATTAAAATCCCCTAGTAATGTTGTGTGCTATTTATGAAAATGTTTATACGAAATCGTTTAACTTTAGATGCATTCAATTAGGATTATCTGGTACTACACTTGTAATCATATTGCAGGAGAGTCGAGAGGAGGAGTGTACTAAGCTATCAGCCCGAATATTGTACATGGTAAAGATGTCATCTCTATTCAAAGCAAAACCGTCACCATACCATTAAACTTCTTGCTTAATTTGGTACCCCTTTACTTGTACTTTTGTGAGGTCCATAGTCCTACGAATTATTCAAGTTTCACCATCATAACCTCTTTAATAGTAGTAAATTTATGAATTTTCCCTCGTATTATTCAGTTTTAAAATACAGATGTGACGTCATCCTTTGATGTTGGCGTACCATTATTTGAAATAATGTACGGACAACTTGCCAATCGTACATTATCTATACCAGATGAAATATTGGACTCGAGTGACGTATTTCATTGAAAAGCTCGTGCGGGATAGTGTCTGTATTTTAAGTTGTTTAATGGTGTCGAGCTAAAGACATTGCGTAATACATTGAAACAACACTCGGCTAACGCCTTGTGAAGTATGAATTCTCGACCATTAATAGGGTGACCCACCATAAATAAATATCTCCATATATCTCGACAATTTCGCCACAATATTTATATATATGCCAAGCCTCAAATCAGTTTCACACAATTATAGTCACTAAATAAACGATCATGTTGTACTTAATAAGCTATGACCATTAATCATCTATAAATAATAGACTGAAAACTGGTTCCATGTGTCGTCCATAACATCCAGACACTTTTGAGTAAAAGATAGGTTACGTGCCCTTGTTTTGAAATTAGTCTCGCTTAACCAGTCTATCGACCATTCTAGGGCTGATTGACAGGTCGGGATAATCAAGACTACTTTTTTACGAAACATAACAGAAAGCTAGAACAAGAAATTGAATTTAGAAATGAGCACGTTAGCTAGCTCAACAATTGTTTTAAGAAGCTTGTAAAAGTAAAATGAAACTACTCATAGCACACTGTATGGCGTATGCCCGTCTTCATTAGCACAGTTTGGAGCAGAACAGTAGTTCGTTAAATCCCATTGCATTTCATTTCATATCAGGTTAGGTTATAGGTAGGCTACAATCGCTAATGCATTGAGCATAAATGCTTCGGTATACAGGAAATTAAAATCCCCTAGTAATGTTGTGTGCTATTTATGAAAATGTTTATACGAAATCGTTTAACTTTAGATGCATTCAATTAGGATTATCTGGTACTACACTTGTAATCATATTGCAGGAGAGTCGAGAGGAGGAGTGTACTAAGCTATCAGCCCGAATATTGTACATGGTAAAGATGTCATCTCTATTCAAAGCAAAACCGTCACCATACCATTAAACTTCTTGCTTAATTTGGTACCCCTTTACTTGTACTTTTGTGAGGTCCATAGTCCTACGAATTATTCAAGTTTCACCATCATAACCTCTTTAATAGTAGTAAATTTATGAATTTTCCCTCGTATTATTCAGTTTTAAAATACAGATGTGACGTCATCCTTTGATGTTGGCGTACCATTATTTGAAATAATGTACGGACAACTTGCCAATCGTACATTATCTATACCAGATGAAATATTGGACTCGAGTGACGTATTTCATTGAAAAGCTCGTGCGGGATAGTGTCTGTATTTTAAGTTGTTTAATGGTGTCGAGCTAAAGACATTGCGTAATACATTGAAACAACACTCGGCTAACGCCTTGTGAAGTATGAATTCTCGACCATTAATAGGGTGACCCACCATAAATAAATATCTCCATATATCTCGACAATTTCGCCACAATATTTATATATATGCCAAGCCTCAAATCAGTTTCACACAATTATAGTCACTAAATAAACGATCATGTTGTACTTAATAAGCTATGACCATTAATCATCTATAAATAATAGACTGAAAACTGGTTCCATGTGTCGTCCATAACATCCAGACACTTTTGAGTAAAAGATAGGTTACGTGCCCTTGTTTTGAAATTAGTCTCGCTTAACCAGTCTATCGACCATTCTAGGGCTGATTGACAGGTCGGGATAATCAAGACTACTTTTTTACGAAACATAACAGAAAGCTAGAACAAGAAATTGAATTTAGAAATGAGCACGTTAGCTAGCTCAACAATTGTTTTAAGAAGCTTGTAAAAGTAAAATGAAACTACTGCTAGTATCATGTTCCTGTCTAACCCGAGTGTTTCTGAGATATTATTTGTACTAAACCAAAAGATGCCGCTCTTAACGGTACAGTTAATGATAAAGCGATTTAAAAAATGAAACGAACGTAATTTCTAAATCTGCTGTAATAACCAAGAAGCTTAATTTCACTGCTATTCAAAATCGTCAACAATAATTTTTTTACGGCTGTAATAGTTGATAGATTTGTAGAGAATTGCACGTGCCATGGCTATTTATAGTATCATACTGTCAGAAAGTTGGCCTCGACACGGCGAATGTGCACGCTTCAGTGGTAGTCTCGAACTATCAGCGGTGGACTGTATTTCTGTAGGTGCGTGGGCCACCCTACCATTAATCCATATGGAATTCATTCAATTCGTCCATGTAGCACGGGTGTATATTGACTGCATCTTATAAAGCCTCCGATCCGGTACTGACAAAATACCAGGCTAATGATGGAGAGGTTAGTATCAAATATTAAAAAAATCAACGATTAAATTCTTACACTTTAAAAGCATTTGAATGAGAAACAATAATACTAACTTGAATGAGGAACATTAATACCAACAATATTTGTATTAAAGCGACGATACGTCTATTCAAGCCAGATAAATTTGTTTTCATTAATCAGTCTACAACCATACTAATTGTTGAATATGTATATAAGTTTAGATATTTTAACAGTTTCTTTTCTGCTTTGTAATATTCTTAAACAATGTCCATTGTGTATCACTCGGTGGGCGAACGTTTCCGCCAGTGGGCATTTCGGCTTAGCACGCTTCGGCCAGTGGATATTTCGGCCTGGTGCGTTTCCGCCAATTCACAAACAAAAAACACACACACAAAAAAACCCCAAATCAACAGTGAGGCTGTTGCCCCCCGCCGAAATCCTAGAATAAATAGATTGCGCATATTAATTAATCGCACATTAATTTTTTTTTCAAAAGTATCAGGCAATCAAACTATACACTAAGTTTCATCACCAATGAAATTGATTACCTCTGCTTAGCTTCAGCTCGAAATGTTAATCATTGAACTCAGTAAAGACATTCACCTAATGAACATCTACATCAAGTTTAAACATTCTACCTTAATTAAAAGCAGAGTTGTTATGTTCCAAAGTCTTGACCAATCAAATTGCTTATTGCTCCTTAGCCTAAGCAGAAAATTCTCACCATCGAACTTAGTCAAGGGAATGATATAATGAATCTATATTCAGAGTTTCATCACTCTCACTTCAGAATAACCAAAATTATCGTGCCCCAAAGCATCAACAAATCAGATTGCTTATCTCTGCTTACCGTAAGCAGACAATGCTCACCACCGAACTCCATCAAGGCATTCACCTAATGAACGCCTACACCTAGTTTGAACATTCTACCTCAATTAGAAGGAGAGTTATTGTGTTACAAAGAAAGACACGGACAACTTATAAACTGATGTTTAACGTCCTACTGTTCTGCTCCTAACCTGGGCTAATGAAGACGGGCATACGCCATACATATTGTGCTATGAGGGAAATTTTGCCCGGGCAGCGGCTCTACGGCCTACTCTTATACACGCGACCTCGGTTTTTCGTCCCATCCGAACGACTAGACAGCTGTCCTTTTTAGGCCCTCCGTCCTGCATCACTGACAAGGGGAAACCACGCCGGAAAATCTGAATGAACTTTCTCGGCCAATGCAGGGATCGAACACCCAACCTCCAGGCTAGAGAGCCAGCGTCTTACCCACTTAGCCACCATGACCCCCAATGGCTGAGAAAAAAATGTCTTACCCACTTAGCCACGTGATTCCCCGTCGTTTGTTAGAAGATTAGAGGAGTTAGGATGTGACTGTTATAATAGACTTTGAACACTCTGCAGATCTTGCTCTTTACCTTATTCAACCAACTTGGAGACATCCCCAGTCACCAGGACTTGCAAACATTTACACAGACGATAACGAGTTCAGACGTATTTTAAAAAATATATTTGTCGCAATACCCCCCCCCCCTCCGCCCACACACACAAAAGGGGAAAATACACAGCAAAGAAAAAATCTGTAGGAGAAAATAAATAAAGTGGCCGTGACTTACTGTAAACAAACGTTAGAATGGTAACAAACCAGTTAAAAAATTAGAGTTACCACACGTTGTATTTGAGAAATGTGTACGTTTCTAATATGACCAGAATATAGTATGTTTTAATAAATTAATAAACATTGCTACGTACTTTAACAATAATTATCTGCAATTTACTTCCTGATTGATAAGACTTGTGTGATTCAAACTATAAAAAACAGGTTGTCATACATGAACAGTACACAATAACAGTGACCCCTTTGCATAAAGAATAGATATTTTTATTATTATAATGTGTTACAGGCTATAAATTCGAGTCAATATTATTAATATTTTGAACTTGTGTCAGGATCAAGGAACATGAAAACCATATTTGCTGTGATTCTTCTCATACCTATGGCTACAGGTTTGTTAATATTAATATATATATTTATATTGAATAAGCTGTAAAGAGGACAGTTATTTAATAAGAAGTGAAGTGAAATGAAATGGGGTTTAACGTCCTACTGTTCTGTTCCTACCGGGCTATGGAAGACAGGCGTATGCCATACAGTGTGCTATGAGGGAAAGTTTTCCCGGGCAGCGGCACTATGGCCCACTCTTATATCGAGTTCCAACTGCCAAGGGATATTTACGACCACGCCATCCGAATGACTAGATAAGGTACGATATACATAGAAAATATATATGATTATGTATGTCAAATGATTGAATTCACCTAATAAATACCTAGTGTCTGAACCGTGATTATACATGGATTTCTTCGATTGTGAACAAACTTCTGAATAATTGTTATTAAACACTTGCTTATGTGTTTGAAATCACCTCTTATTGAATCAAATCCATTGCACAATACAAAATATCCCAACGAAAAAAGTTCCCTCTTGAAAAGTCAACGAACAAATTTGAAAAAGTCCGTGCATTACCATGTTTTTTTTATTATGTATAGAATGAATAAAACAATGGAACGCACGGGACTTTCTAATTTTCTCTTAAAAACTAGTGACAGCCAATTATTTTTTTTTTTGAATTGTCAGATATCCTCTCAGTCTCATATAACAACAGGGGATTATTAAAATGGGTTCGTCCGTCTGTTTGTCCGTCCGTCTGTCTGTCCGTCACATATTTTGCCACACACACATTAATTCTCCTTCTAATTGAACTAGAACGTGTAACACTATCTTAGTGATATCAGAGATCAGTTTAGTGAATATAGGATTTATTTACATCAGGTACATACAACCACAATTCGGGAACTCAAACTATAAGGAACTAGTCTACGACAGGAACACATCTAACAATATTAAATC